ATACAATATCTCTTTAGTTTTTAAATATGTTTAAGATATTGATAAATGTTTGAAAACATATATTAAAAGCTTAGCTGAAAATGTGAGAATACAGCAGAAATAATCGGCGGTTACGATGACGCTTTCTTTAATCAACTCGAATAACGATTTCGATTTTGTTGGTCGAGTTATCAAAACTCCTTGTCTATTTTGTTTTCGAACCGTAAAATTTCACTATGTTGAAGAAACACACATGATGTTAGTAGCCCTTTGGCCTTCGTGAAATTTGTTGCAGCATCTCGGCACGAAAGATAACGAAAGAAATCTTTGTCAAGATTTGTTGACAATTAAAAACACCGACTCGGACTTGAAAGTGCACGAGCTGCACAATGCAAATGAGCTAAATGTACGCGTCAGACTTTCCTTTCAAAAACTTTTGCAAACTCGCCAAACAAGCATAAACAATAAGAAACCATCAAAAAACAGTTTTTAGTTATGATTACGCATCGTTTGAGAAACTCACAAATTAATTCGATACTAGTTCCCGGATTACCACAGAATATATGTATTTTTAAAGTAAACAGTTTCCAATATTAATTCTTACACACCATCAGTAAATTGGATAACCACTGAGTGAAGACTTCTGAGGATACACATGATATGGTGGCACTCATGCACCACACTATTATTCCATTCATATTCGCTTATTAACTCCCAATGATCTGGTACAAGAGAAGATTTCTATTTCGTAAAAAGAAAATACACACTTTAAGAACTGCCACTGTAGATGAAGCTGTGAACGTTGAATCTACATCAGGCCAGTGGCTCAGTACAGGCGGAATTCATCCCGATTTCGGTAGCATGAAGCGACTAGGAGTATTTCTTCTTCCCCTTGGATGGGATGCTAGTCCATCGCAGGGTTACCTCCAGCATTAAATTCGCCGGTACCCATTTATACACCCGGTTTGAGTCTAGCGCACTAACCATTTGAACATTGCTCCTCCCCCTATACAATGATGGCTTACTCCAAAACCCAGGGGAAAAAAAAAATAATAANTTTTTTTTTTTTTTTTTTTTTTGTGGCTTAATACAGGCGGAATTCATCCCGATTTCTGTAGCATGAAGCGACTAGGAGTATTTCTTCTTCCCCTTGGATGGGATGCTAGTCCATCGCAGGGTTATCTTCAGCATTTACCCATTTATACACCTGGTTTGAGTCTGGCGCACTAACCATTTGAACATTGCTCCTGCCCCTATACAATGATGGCTTACTCAAAAACCCAGAAAAAAAAGGAAAAATAATAATAATAATAAAAAAAAACCTCACCGTCGCTGTAGGTATCGTCATGGACAATGCCAAGAACTCGGGAGCAGCAAAAGCAACAACAGCAGCAACAATAACAAGTATTCATGACATAATAAACAAAGCTATCAGTTCCAAATCATACATCTTACTCAAGGATGTCTGGGATTTTCACCCTGTTCGGACTGGGGCAAAGAGAGAAAGAAGGGTGATTTAGAGGCCTTCACCAACTACGGATGGCCTGTAACTTTAAAAGCATAAAACAAATGAAATCCAAATTTGGCGAATTGCCCTTTAATGTATCTGGAAACAATTTTTATGGTTTGTGATTGGTCTAGGATTTCAATGTTCCCAAGTCAAACATTTTTTGACAGACAAGTTTTTGTAATTTTGAATTTTGTTGTTTAAAATGATAAAACAGTTTGTAATTTTGAATCGTTTTAGCCTTCGTTTTGGGTTGTGACTACTTTTGAGCCAGTTTTAGCGGTCTTATAACATTTAATAACAATGTAAAATCCAGGGTGGCGTCTGTTTGGAAACGATGTCGTCATTTGTACGTCATATGACTTCATCGTTTAATGTTACCGACCTCAAGAGAAATATTTTTGGACGTGCCATACCGAGTTTTAATGTCATACCTTTAATTCTTTTAGAATTACCGGGTGAGGAACACGGAAACCCCGTGAATATTATAGCAGAACGAATAAAAGCCCAGTACTTCGCTACGTATTAGGCAAGTACTTTTTATTTTTATATCAATTTAGTCAATCATTTTTTATGTCAGAGAAAGATGTATTAAAGAACAGATATATTTCGAACTACTTTATGTTGGTTGCATCTAGTTCACCGATTAAGTTCTCCAAAACTGTTTTTCCGGTTTGAAACTGATTTCTTGCAAAGTTTGAAGTTGTACTACAAAAATGATAATTTCTATCCGTCGTTGCGAATCACCCGAAATCAGATTTTTCTACCGTAAATTGAGTAGCAGAAAGGAGGAAATTCGGTAAGTGTATTCCACAGATTTTCTCTTAAATACAGCAGCGATCAGAGAGGTACACTCTACTGCAATTGTCTTTTTTTTTTTGCTTAAAATTGTACGGCGAGAGAAACACAGGATTACGTCCCATTATAACGCCGAACTACAAACATGCAAACAAACTCTCACAACTTCAAAATACTCAATTGAATGTTTGAATTGAATAGAGATAAACCTGTGCTGATTAATCATCGATGGAAGTGTAAAAAGGGCAAAGGCTGACGATTACCCGCTAGTTCACTCGCGAAAATTGACCAACACGACAACTTTTTCTTCCAATGAAGTGACCTCTTAAGATACGCCAAGTGAAGTTTGCTTTCCGTTCTGTATTTAATTTTGTTAAGGATGTTGAGGGATTGTGACCTAAAAATTTCAAGAAATAAGATCGAACAGCGACTGCTCGTTGAAATACAAACATCTTAACAGGCGCCAATACAAGCTCAGTAAATAGAAACAAGTCATGTCACGGGCAAATCGTCCTTTATTCATTTTAACCTGCTAGACACCCTTAACGACCCATTGAAATCTAAAGATGCGAATTAAAACGTTCTCTGCAACATGCAACACGTTAAATTATGGAAGTCGGTATTAGGACTTTAACACTCATGCAATAGGTTATTTCCGAGATGCCTTTTGCCTCTGTGTCAAAAAGAGTCTACGTGCAAAACCATTCGTATAAAGAATGTGTTCCCCCCCTACAGGTTCATTTTCATGTAACTCAAAGTCATTTTCATAAGAAATGTTTTTTCACGGAGACTCGTTTTGAAGCAGAGGCACAAGGAACGCAGAAATGGTCTATTGATCCTTGGTGTTTTTTTTTTATTTTTTTATTTTTTTTTAATTGGTCCTTGGTGTAGTACAGCCTTACCTTGCAATTGAAAGTCAGTGTGGACCAGTTAATTCTGTGTTGACTTTATTTTTTTGTTTATTAGCTATTACGCAAATTATACTCTCGTCAAGATTTTAATTAACCGCTGGGGTCACAGATCGAGAATGTATGATAAATGATCAACATGAAATAAGTTGTAACCGACCAGTACGTACTTACCTTCTTTTGCAAAAGCCGACAAGACAAGTAGAACCACTGCGACACGGATCATGACCTTATAAAGAACAAAGGCTCAATAGAGAGTCGAATTTCAAAAAAACGAAACGAAGATAACAAAATAAAATTGCCTTAGGCTACCTAACAGGCACCCTAGCACGGCATTATGCTTAAATCAATTTCTTAGCATTACAACGAGACTGAAAGAAACTGAACACAGTAAACCCGTAACTATTGGCAATTGAAACTGGCTAAAAGTGATCGATTCTGTTCACCATATTGAACGTTTTTCCCATACAACCTTAATTTCATTTCATTATTATTTAGTTACAGTAGAAAATCATACATGATTCAGGTAGAAATTTCTAAAATTGAATGTACTCACCATTTTAACGTATTTGTCCGTAAAGCTAGTCCGTCGATTTTCGCAAATGCTTGTAACATTGATCGTTTCGATCGATCGCTTAAGTTATCTAACAATTACTCAATTTACCAGTGGTCTCGACCACTCCCATATCCTGGTATCTTAAACAGCACAAGATTCGCTTCAGCTGGTATAACCTGTCCAAGGCATATTTTCACCTCCGTTATTTGTTACAAAACAAAGGACCTTTTTCAAATCTTTTCCGATGTGTAAGAATTACGTGTAGTAAATTTTCTGGCTTGGAATGTTTGTGGGAGAAACACGGACGTTCAGGATTGTTGCAATTTCAATATTTTCCGGCGTAGTGTGGAAGGAAAACATTTCATGCGTTTTCAGAGTGAAACCTTCGTTTTCAAATTCCTCCAGCTTAGTGTGGGCGGGATCTTATATCGGAACCCAGGCGACCATGAAATATACATATTGCGTTTTGCCATGCTTAATTCGAATAACGGGTTAGTGAAATAAAGCTTTGAGTTCCTATTTGATATTTTTATTCAAAGACATTTGGGATTTCTTTATTTTTTTGCTTGAGTCACGAGTTTAAGTCTATTATTTATTCTATTACTCAAGTGCATTACCTTCTAATTACTGTTCTTTTAGACAGTCATTAATCCGGATCAAAGTATGAAAATTGGTTTGAAGTATTTTAGTTCCTCTCAAGCCATTTCAGGGTTTCTTTCTTATGAGAACAATCATTCTTCTCAGTCAGTCATTGTTCTTAATCAGTCCGCCAGTTATATTTTAAGAGGATGACGGCGGAATTTTCTTTAGCTAAAATGTACAGACCACTGAGGTTATCTAAGAAACAAAATGATTTTAACATCGCGAAAACCACAGCATGGTATACTCCAAGAAAATGCAGAGGTTTTCAGGGTTTAACAGCCTTCTGTTGGGCATGGTACATTCTAAAATGCAAATTGTAAAATCGTGACGGACTGTTATCTAAAATCGATTAAAATGGCCCGAACACAGTTTTTGATGCGTGTGTTTTTATTCACCGTTTTCTCAAAAACCCTTGCGAACAATGAGAAGAAATGAAATGATCAGGGATCCATCCAAGCTAGAGAAATTTTTTGTTTTGCTAAAGCCTACAAGAATTGAAAAAATCTTTGTGATAAGCTTTAACTATCGTTATTCAAACAGTTTATGAGTTATTCTGGGTTACTAACAAAACGCTAAGATCGACTTTAGAAATTAGTTTGAGTCTGATTGCAAAATTATTATAGCGGGATAACGGCTGTGAGATACTGTTTTAGACATTTAACTTCAGTTAGACAATAGATATTTTACTTAACTAACTGAGGCTTAGTAAAAACATAGGCTGAATAGGAGGATGATTTTAATACACCGAGCGGATGTTTTGCGATGTTCACGATGCGATCTTCGATTAACCTTGTTGCATGTGGTTGTTGTTTTAAACGTTACGTAGCAGTAGTTAGCTTTATTGTTTGTTTTTTTTTTTGCTGTATGAATATTACCTACATTCAATTTAATTCCGCAAAAATGATCTCTAAAATTTTTATATTGCTTGTGTTATTTTATTTTGGCTAGATCGCTTTGGAATGATAATGAAAATTTAGGAAGAAGATGGTTTCGACGCTACTTACTTGGTTAAAGGAAAATATGCAACTGAAACTTATGCACAAGCGCACCTACGTTTCATGCAAACTGCGCAAGTCCTTTCGTAAACGTAACTTTCTAGGGAGTGGTATTTCGACATTTGATTGATGGTTCCAATCTGGTTACTACAAAAGAACGCTTGCAAGATATCAGAGGTTTGAAGTGGCACTTCGTCATTTGTAAAGGAAGGCAGAGGTAGTTCCTGACAACAGGTTATCACAGCCGAAACTGTTGCAACCTGCTCTGTTTCAGATACCAGCAAGTGTGGAGTAACCGAGACCTCTGGTAAATTAAGTATTTCTTTGATCACCACTGTTGAAAAATAACTATAAGGAAACAGATTGAAAGATGGTAAGTAGAAAATGAAATTTCGACAAACAAATTTATGCATTGAGTTTTACCATTATATTAAAAGATCGACTTGTCTAAAAGAGCGCGCCACTTTTTCGTCAAATTAGTAAGTAAAACCAGAGCTAGATTTCACGTGCCTTGCTTCTTTGCTCGCAATCGTTTCCTTGCGCATCGCGTTAGCTCCATGATTACTTTGCTAGATTGCCTGTGTAATTTGTGATTGACCAGAATGATTAAGACAGTTGAAGACCAATTTATATGTGTTTATTTAAATGCGAATACGTTGATAGTCTTAATGGTAAAAAGTTCCCGTGTCCAAAGCTCGTGTAACTAAACGTTGATTTTTCGCTCGTTAGGATTTCTATAAAGTTCATTGAACCTGTTTGCGTGATTGCGTGTACGTGGACTGTATCTTTGTTCTTTACAGATCATGCTCCGTGTCGTCGTACTTTTATTTGTCCTATGCGTTTTTGCAAAAAGAGGTAAGTACGCCTTTCGGGAGTTACATGTAGTTCAAGTTCAGAATGACCTAAGACCTTAGATAGACTTTTTTACTCCCGTGGTCTTAATGTTTCTTAAATCTTAACGAAAAATGTCGAAAATTACAGCTTTCACGCAGACGGTTTTCATTTAGCAAAATACAGTGAAACACGGACTTCAAAGCCTTCAACATCAGTAAGTTTAAATAAATTCTGAATAAATTTCGGAAGCGGCGTTTCTGTTACCAACCTTTATTCCATTCGCAAAACTTTGGAAAGGTATCGTTAAATCACTTGTATTACTTGAATTGGAAACTCTCCGTAGTCTATCACTTTCATGATGACCGATTCTACCAGCGAACTCCTGCATTTCCCCGTAAGAATACTTTTGAATTAATTAATACACTTTCTGCCTTTCACCGATACCCTTTTTCTTTCCTTTCTTTGAACATTCTTAGTGCGAAATGTTTACGTCGCTTTACTCTGCGGATTTTGTGCCGGGCGAAAAGCTTATAAATCACTCGCTTAACGGCTCGTGAGTTACAAGATCTCAGTCTTGTGTGCATGTTCTCCCAACATCCCGTGTGGTCTGTTGCGCCAGTTAACCCATAGAAAGAGTGTTCTATTGCTTTAATAGGATACTTAGAGGCTCAGCTGCATTAATTCTATCGCTCTCGAGAAAGCCTTTTGTTTAGTAATCCAAAAAAAGTCAACGCGCGCAGTAATTGCAATGAGGGAATCAATCCAATTCGTAAACTGATTCGTTTGTCAAATTAATTTGTGCTGGACGACAAAGCACCTCTTACCACATTTAGCTCCAAATATTCTCTCTAGAATATGTACTTTTCTCGTTTATACAACTGTCTTTGGTGTTCGATTAATCCGAAGTTTTGCGTTTCTGAAAACATTATTATTTTTTTCATTATTTCTCTTTTCAGAATTAACCAGTGAAGAACAGGAATTCAAAGGTCTGGAGGCACATAACATTTTCCGACAGATTCACCAAGTTCCCCAGATGACACTGAACGGAGAAATGTGTAAGGAGGCTGAGGATTATGCCAAAATTCTCGCACGGAAGGGAAGCCTCGAACACTCAAAAGAGACCAATGATGGCGAAAACCTTGCCTTTTCTTGTTCCTCTGATGACAAGACCCAAACCGTGGGAGAGGCCGTGAAAAACTGGTAAGATTTATTGTCATTATTCTTATTAGTGTAATAGCTGAAATCATTAAAAACAACGTTCTTTATACTGTCCTTTTTTTTAATAACTACACTACTTGTTTTCGTTATCTATATGAGCGATAGTGAACTGAGTTGCTGCAACTGTTCTCGATGGTTATTGCCTCGTGGTCTGATGCCCATAATAAGTGTAATTAGGGCATCAACGGGAGTAATGCAACCTAAGCAGAGGCAGCATCGGCAGCAGAGGACAAGGTAGCTTGGAAGCAGAGATCCTATAGACCTACCTCCACTAGGAGAATGGGCAAATAATGATGAAGAATCTCTGTGACAGAGCTAAGCATAATGCTTATGATATACTCTCACGCTTATATATACTTATCCCTGTTTAAAAGTGGGTCACTGAACTGCAGCTTTGACTTCGTAAGGTACAATGAGGTCTGCAAACCAGGATACAATTTCAAGAACGGCGGTTTTAGTGCTGGAACAGGACATTTTACGCAAGTGGTATGGAAAGGTAGCACGGATCTTGGAATTGGAGTAGCTACGGGCAATAAACACGGCATGAAGTGTACGTACATAGTCGCCAGATACAGACCGGCGGGAAACTTCATGGGGAGGTATCAAGAAAATGTGTTAAAGGGTAGCTTTGACGCTGAACGGGTTTGCGCCTCAGTTAACAAACTCGTGCCCTGATCTTCTACTCTTTAACGTCAACAGTGGTGTTCCAGTTGAGAAATCTGAGCCTGCTGATTGTTCTAAGTTAACTTATTTCGAAGAAAACTTCCTATACGCGCCAGCGTAACAAATGGCTTATTTCGTGGAAAATATACGTATTAGACATGGACTTCATTCATAGCTGTAACTTGTCTGAATTAAAATAATATTATAATAAAGCGCGCGCGCGCTTGTCCCACCGTACGTAATTCCATGGTAAAAATCTCTATGTACGCACGGCCGTGCGCAAATAACATGACGTGCGGCAGTTTCATTTTAGCTGCAAAATTTCCGTCGAGTTTAGCTTCAAGTTCACCTGTTATTTTGGTTTAACAACTAAACCATAAAAGTACAAACTCTTAGAGCTAAAGCTTTGTGGAAAATAGCTGAGATTACATGTATCACTGGTATCATTATTATAGAAAAAGCCATTCGTTATCCGAGTTTAAGGTCATTCCCCATTATTGCATTGCGCATCCCTACTGCGTATTATTTCACGCGTGATTAGCGCGCGCTCATTAAAAAATGGCGGCTTTTTCTTTACAGCTGGACCTCGCCATAGAGGTAAATCGTCATTTTCTCGCAAACGAGTATGGTGACCTATCATTTTTTTCTGTTGTTTTGAANGGTGCTTTTGCTCCTAAACGAACATGGGGACCCCTCGTTTTTATTTCAAAATTTAAGTTCCTATAATATACACAATCGATAGGCAAAGTTTCACAAAAATCTCAGTGCAGGTTCCATTTCAGCGGAATGACCTTAAAGAAGAGATCCAGCGCGCTAGTTTCCACGGTCGACTAGCATTTTTTTTTCTTAATCTCGCTTCTTGACGATTTCATCTCGTGGAAAATTCGTAAAAGTTATGTTTTCGTTGCTAAGCGCTGGCCTTTTTGCCTTGATGCTGACGATGGACCGTCACTTCACCTTTTCTCCGTCCTAATGGTCATGGGAACCCTCGCATTCAGATGACGTCTTCTTTACTCGTCTTTAAACTTACACAAAAAACCAATAATTTAAAAATATTTGCGGTGTTTAGCTTGAATGATAAACCGTTTATAATTCACAGTATCTGCAATGTGATCATCTTGAGAAGTAAGTTGACGACTGCCGTTTTGACAAAGGTGACTATCAGTGAGGTCGTGGAAACTCCTAGAAAAATATATTGGTGGGGGTGTGCAGCCCGCTTCCCAAAACCCTCGCCCTATTTATGACCAAAATCTGCGATTTTCCTTACCCTATTTATGACTAGACCAAAAATTAGATACCCTATTTATGACTGTTGCGACTGACAGAGTTGCCTTAAACATAATTTTTAAGGGCTTTTGTTTACGGTCTTATCGATAATGATGAAAAAGTAGCTTCTTCTAAAAAACATACCCAATTCAAGACTAGAGCACAAAAACCATACCCTATTAAAGAACAAAATGGCCAAATCGATACCCTATTCATGACCAAAACGGCTGAAAAATCCTGCCCTTTGGGACCACACATACCTACATAGCCCATATAAGGGAGTACCCCCCCCCCCTCCGGGAGGAAACGTCCGTCAACAAGAGTCTTTATCGGACCACAAGAACGATCACTGCAAATACATTTCGGCCGCTGTCAGGTTATAAGTATTTATCATGGAATTTAAATGAAATTTATTCCAATTTTTATCCACTTTCGCTCAGTTGACTCGGCCATGGGAACTCCAGTAATATGGACCGAGCTGAATCATTTATGCCATTTACAAGTATTTGTAGTTGACTAGCCATGCTTATAACATATCCCACAAAAACGTGATTTTCGCAGTATTCAGTCATGTAATGGGAGAATAACACACAGCACGTGTTAAGTCCTAAGCTCAGCTTGACCAGCTTCTCACTGGTACGTTTACATATACAGTGAAGGAACTGAACGCCCATACAATACACCTGAGGTTTCACCCGGGATAATGACGATTGTTCTCCCCCCAGTCAACTTTTAGTCGGTAAATATAGGTTATTTAATGTTAAAAACCTTTCACCCCTTTAATACATGTTTATTCACGAGTTTTTAATATCGCGAACGTACCAGTCTTCGACCGAGTGGGCGATATGTTATTGAAAACCAGGGAATAAAATGATATCAGGCTCTTAACAGTTCATGCCCAATTTGTTTATTACATATTCAAAACCGCAATTCGTCAGACAGAACAACTGAAGCATAATTTAATTGTTGTAATTTTAACAAAATTCCTCTTGTGTAATCAACCTCTAAGACATTTTACGTTACTTCTGCAAACCATCATAAGTGGAGAACAGAGAAAAAAACTGCGAAACGAAATGTTGTCATCTGATCGTTTAATGGTATATCCGTAATTTTTCGGCTTCTTCGAAGTTTGGGGCAAGTTGAGATGATGGTTCAAAACAGGCTGAATCTTATTTTCTCGCAGAAAGAATAAAACTCTGTAAACCTGCATTAAGTTCTTGCGCCACCAATTCTGAAAATTTTTAAGATAACATATTTCAAATTGTATGTTTTATTACATGACTTTTCGTTGCTAACTCGTCTTCGGATTAGTCGTCGTCGATTTCTGCATCCTCACTGTTCATCAGCGGAATAAGAGTTTGCGTAAACCCTCCGTTCTCTCCATTTTCATCATATTCATCGGTATTTGCAGCCTGTTCATAGTTTGCTTTTTCAGCCGGGTCGTCTCCCTCAACAAACTCTTCTAAAACTTCGGCTTGCTTCGGGTAATAATCTGACGATGGTGTGGGCATTCGGGACTCTTGATTAGCACCCCAGGAGTTTCCAGCATAATAGCTTAGTTTATCGTTTCGATAACCTTGTCCGTGAGGATATCTATGTGTTGTCTTCACATTGGCTTTTCCATATTTGGCATCTTTGGACCTAGTGTTGTTCGCCGGGTTTCTCATTTCCTTCCCACTGAGCCTCCCGATGGGTTGCTTTGTTAACGTTTGTCCTAACCGTGGTCGAAACTTCGAAGGCCCATTTGGGGAAAAACTGGGCTGTTTTGACAATTTCTTAGTAGGATTTCTCCTTACTTTTAAGGTAGGTTTGTTTTGATCTGAGTCTGATAATGAAGACGCGGGTTTATGTCCACAATAAGATGGATTAAACTTTCCCTCAAACACGTTATTCAAAGTGTCGAAAGAAATCGCTGGCCTGTAACGCGCCACAATATAAGTGTAACGACGGCCGTTTTTCTTTCCTTCCGCCTTGCCAATTCCGAGCTCTGTGCTACCCTTCCAGATGACTTGCATGAAATGAGCTGTCTGCGGCTCATAGCCTCCTATCCCCCAGCTATAAGCGCAAACCTCGTTATACCTATAAAAGTGTTAAAAGCCGAAAAGTTAACAATCGTTTGCTTTAGAGGGGTTGTCAGACGAGTTTATGTTTCATGCAAGTAACCATCTTTCGACATCCAACGTTAAAAGGTTGAGGTCTAAAATGTATGTTCAGATCGAATTTACATCATACTAGGGTGGGGAATTGTTTTAGCTTATTTGTTATTTCCTCTGTCAGTAACCAGACAAATTGCCATGTTTACATTGCCTATCGAAATATGGACGCTATGAACGTAACACTGAAAAAAAGCTACAACTGCCTTTTCAAGTATACACTCTTAGTTACAAATTTAAAAAAAAATTTAAAAATCCCCCGAAGTCAACATGAAACACAAAAGAAACTTACATAAATCATGGTTTAATTCAAACCATTAACCCTTAACCTGGATTAAAAGCCTCTAACAGAACATCTTTGTTAAAATCTACGCGTATTCGATGCAAAACCCCTGTGACACATGAGCCACGCATATACCAAGGCATACACGACTGGTGGGCGGCCTATAGAATTTTGACGGTTCATTTGACTTCTTACGTGGGGGATGTGGTTCAGTATTGCTCTCGTGTGTTCCTTGATTACACTGATATTTTTCACATCTGGCATGATCCAGGGGCTTCTTTACACCTCCACCTAAATTCAAACTGACAACAGTGGAACAAGGGTTGATGCTTCACGTGACGTGTAACAGTGTTTCTCAGTAGCCCAAGTGACTTTCTTTTACTTAATCTAGGTATACCTAGTTCCCACAAGTTACGAGTGTCCGAAACTGTCGTTCTCTCTTTATGATATACATTGTGCAAGTTGAATGTCTCACCAGTTTTTAACTGCACCATATGCCGTCAGCCCTCCCAAACGGCCTCCTCCCGCGGCCAGGTTTTCACCTTCATGTTCTCTCTGAAGGACAAGCTGGTCTTCATGAACCATGGGTTGGTTCCTGGTACCCCTCTCAAAGAGCTTCTTTGCAAACTCCTCAGCTTCCTTGGACATATTCATGTTGAGCTTTAGAGGCGGCGAGTTGTGTATGGCACGAAATTTGTTATGGGAATCCAGGGCTGACTTGAGAAATTCTTCAGCTGAACATAATTGAGACAGCAAAATATTCAATTACTAAAATATGCTTCAGCAATTTAATTTATCAAATACAACTGATACCTTGTTGTTTGAATCAACTGTCACGATCAGTTTTGGTAGACTTAGATGGTGGAAATCGTGATAGGAATGGTCATCAGAGATCAAACAAATAATATGCTTTTACTGCCGCTTTTAGGTCGGCCACTGAACCTTTGTAAATTTATGTCAAATAATGGTGTCAGAGATTGGTTCGTGGAATATTATGAGTATACATGAGCTCAGGCTTACTAAAACTAAGTAGTTTGTTTTAAATATTTTTTCCCCTTTATTATCACTTCGAAGCTCTGTATTCTCCCCCTTTCCTCCCTTCTGCCTTGAGCTCGTATCCGACTCATGGTGTATTTCGTCTCAAATTCCTACACGACCCGCGCAGTTATATAAATGCATTTACCGGTTTCGTCTCCAAAGGAAGGTACATCTTGTTGGTACTTTGCAATAGCTGGTCCTGTGACTTGTTCAGTAGATTTTTCTGAAGCTGGTGTAGTTGGCGTTGGTACACTCAATGCTGATGGTTGGGAGTCATTCATCCTTGTCAGTTCAAGGTGTATGTCTAAAGATGTGTGGTCACCTCTTATAGTTCCAACTCCTTGGATGCGCATATTACCAAAACCAAGTGATACTATGGACGGTCATAAGATAAATAACAGTGTTAAAGCGTAATTGTTCTACTTCAGTGGATTTGAGGAGTTAAGTGGCCATAAATGCTGGGCAGGCACTTAACCCTGTAGGTTTCATTCCTTTAATCTGGACGGAATCCTAGTCCATCGCAGGTAACCCAGAGACAATTCGTCGAGTTGCTGCGCTTATTTATCCAGCTCGGCGATGAAATAAAGCGTTAATACACCGTCGTGTTAAACAGCACGACGCAATGACCCAGGCCAAGGCTCAAACAAGGACCGCTTGATCTGGGGTCAGAACGCTAACTGTTAAGTCACCGCGTAAACCCTGATTACATGAAAGTAATAAAATCACGTGCACTCCACGAGACATCTTGTTGTCTCGTGAATCTCTTGTGAATCTTAAAATTAAATTCCTGTTATTCAGTTGAATGAATTTGTTGATTGAAATATTTGACAGTTACTATCGGATCATATCGTGCTGGAAAAATTTCGTCGTGCCAAGTTGTGAAATCCAGGAATACAACAGTTTTTTCATCACACTCAATTCAAAAAACAACTTTCACTTGTCAAAGCACCTCTTGAAAGTAACTCCATCAAAGAAAACATGACAGAAGTAACAAGCTGATTCCGGCCTTGGCGATTCTAAACATTGGAACTATCAAAAGGTAAGTGCTCCTAAAACAGAATAGCGTTGTTGAGGTACTTGGAATTATACTTGCCTGCCACAGCTGATTTGCTAATAAACACAACCAAGAACAGCGTACGTAGCATTGCCATGGCGACGTCTTCCTTGAAATCAATTCCAGTCAATTAGCGTTGCTAAAATGATAAAATTGATTACCCATCAATTCAAAAATTGTAAATAAAAGATTCACTTTCATCTGCACGCCGCTATATAAGGCACTCCGTAATAATTATTTTCAAAAGCAGACTTTTTAGCTTCATATCTTGAGATGAAACTATATGAATCACACCAGAGTAAATTACAAAACAAGGTGAAAAAAATTCCTTATTGCATTAATTTCTTTTTGCATGTCACTTTTGACATGTTCAACTTTACTGGTTCTTGGTCCCCTCATCGCGACGTTAACGGCATTTCAGGGGGTTTTAAATTTTGTCACATAATGTATTGTAGCTTAGCATATAACATGTGAAATATAGAGCGGGTGTCCCGATTTCTTTTTAACATCCGCTGTTTGTTAACAGGCCGAAATTTTTCCATGGGTGCAAAATAAAGCGGCCAGGGACAACGTTGCTCTAACGCTCAAGGCCACGGTCTTTCGCGAAGCGCATATTAATAGACTGTGACACCATACTTGTAAGCTACGGCTTGTGTACTATGATAGATCCCGTTACCTCCACCAGCCATCCCAGCGTAACTATTTGCACCGAACGAATTCTACCAGATCAGAAATACTTCCCTCGGGGAGAGAAATTGGTTGGTGTTAGCCGATCGTTTATATTTCCCGCGGGACGCTCGAAAATCAGTCCCTCTCGTAACTAAAGGTGTTTGCCGCCATTATTCTAAATTGGCCATATGATGTCATTTTGGTATCGTATATATTTTACTGAATGCAAATAAATTCTAACTACGCGCTGCAGTTTTTGTAAGCCTTACTAAGCCATTATCCATCTTACACTTCCGTCCACTTTCGCGCCATTGTTTTAAACCAGTCGCAATGTCTAACATGGCCTTAAGAGTTTAACTCACAGGAAAACATGCTAAACACTACAACCTGTTACGACACCAGTTTTGTAAATGCGACAACAAGCAAAATCGATCCCTAGCTGATGCTTAGCGTTAACTAGGACGTGAAGGGAAATAGATTCTTCAAATTTTAATCAAGAGAAAATTGTTTTGAATTTACTTTCCCTAAGTACTTTCTAAACAACCTCTCTTACTACTAGTGCCTCTAAACCTAAAAACACCCGAAATTAAATAACTTTCTTATTTCTTTCTAAGTGTTTATTTGTTGATGGTACTTATAACTCATTGACTTAAAGGTCGACATTAATGTATTAAAATGAGAATTTAAACGCCCCCGGCGTTGAAATCTCTCTAAACCTGAAATGCATTTTTCAAGAAATAACTAGCTGGGAGTAAAAGTTGGTATTTCGGAAAATAATGATAATGAAAAAAGACAAAACAAAAGTGGAAAATAAAAGAAATTTTGGCTGTAACCTCCATCTGCTTATCGGAAATGACATCGACAGCTTAACCCGAATGGTTAAACTTTAGAATCAAACATTTGAGTAACCTTGTTGAGTCTGAGACCATGGCAATATTTTGGAATTAAGTCCATTTGTTTACAAAACTTTTTCCTTTCCATCCATGGTCATGTGCATGCACCTTAATCATGTTGTTTGGTCAGACTGTTTGTATAACGCTCTTGACCTGGCTAGTCGAGTTTGATTGCATGGCTTATAATCCAAGTGCTGTATAAGCACTTGTTGAATTTTACACTCCACTAAATCACCTCAACTAATATTTCACTTCAAAATAACCCACAGTATTGTCATCCCAAACTGCATTCAAAACAGGAATCTAATATATATATATATATAACGACTTTTTGTCCTACCTTCCTTGTTAATTCGCTAAATCCTTGACTCCTTTAAAGAAGGTTGCCTATACATTTCCCAGAATTCGTCTGAGTGCCAGTGATATGAATTATTCCTGCTTCATTTCACTGCTACCGATTGGACTACCCTCTAGCAGCTCTTGGTCTTGAGGTCACAAGTAAAAGTAATCGTCTAAACGCGAGTACAGTTAGAGATTTACACTACGAGTGATATTCTAAAATTATCTCAGAATTACACGAGTGTTTAGGGAAGTGCTATTTGAAAGAGTTTTCAAATGTCACAGGTAGCATAAATGTTTAATTGATCTCGCTTTTATTCAAATGCTCATTTATTATTTGACTGAGAAAATAACGAATGCGCGCGCGTTAATTTGCACTGCAGTGCAAATTAAAAATGTCATAATGTAGTAACTTTCTCCGTCATATAATACATGTAAACTGGCATTTATGTTTGGCTTTGCTAAGAAAAATGGCTTTGATTGGCTTGCACTTGCTTGCATCCTAAGCCTATCTAGAGCTTGGGGTCCATTATTGCTCTGATTTCTTTTGGAAAAATAATATTTGTCCTTATAAGCCTCCTATGCAAACGCTATTCGGGATGTGGAGGAGGAGATATTGAATGCGTGAGGAAGTGCATCTTCATCAGATAAGGCTACGTTTTCAGCGTTACGAATTTACAACCGTCAACTCTTTTCCAAGTTAACACTGGCATTACCATCGTTCAAATTGTCAAGGAGCAGGGTATGGGAAATTTGGTCGCTTTTCAAGGCTGTTGAAGCCTCTTCTACACCCCGGTTTTTGCTGTTTAAATACAAGTGTACGCTTTTTCTTGGCTCCATCTGCTTCTTGTACAACGTTGGGGTAAACGATGGTGAAAGAAACCTTTCCAGCTGATTCAGGATACATATTCACCATATGTTAGATGTAACTGTAGAATGAGATTCAGCGCGGTTACATAGTACAAGGTTTAAGAGTTTCTGCTTTTAGTTGGTGGGTAATATGCACTGTTTCAAAATCTCCAAGGGTCGTTGATAAAAATCGCCGCAGTCTTTCATTTTCAGAGCGAAAAATTTAAAGGTAAGAAAGGTTAGCCTGTAAAGGTCTCTTAGTGACAGGCTTATGGTCTTACATTTTACTTGTTCTACGTGTTATATAGAAATAATGGCATCATATTGAAGTCTCCGATTGGCTTTTCAGATTTGGTTTTGAGTCCTGGTCATCCCACAACTCAGATTCGTCTTCAGAGTGATTTTTCGAGGCGAACTTCACACTTTTAATCTCTCTTGTGATGGATAAGCTGAGATAAGAAGAAGCCCTAGTTTATTCAGGCTAACTATTTGACAAACGCATCAGTGCCGTTTTAATCTCATGTCATGATCAAGAAGTTAAAAAGGAGAAAAAAAGATTGAATTGGCCACGAGAAAATCAGTAATTCCACAATTGCCTGATTTGATCTTGTATTACGTATATTTTGTGTATGTTCTTTTTGCACATCTTAATGACTGACTCAAGTGCAAAACTATATCCTTCCACTGATTTTCAGCTGGTTTTCTTGCCTGACCGAGCTTCGCCTTTTTCTTTGGATGGCTCATAACCTCTCTTCCAGGCATTGTCATCTACTACCATTGGAACTTCTTGATCATTTTTTCCTTCATCAGACTTGCTCTCTGCCAGATTAACGCGAGGCAAGAAGCTGTTAGCTGCTTCCGAGACAGTTTGCTCATTTACAAGGTCATGTACATCTTGTGCATCGATATTTTTCTCCCAAGAACTCAGAGGGAAGTAATTTACTCCATTTGTAGAACTGCTTGTTGTTTGTTGATCATCGGTTGGAGCCGAAGATTCGTCGTTTTGTCTGTTAGTACTTTCCAGGAAGAAGCTGCTGGGAAATCCTGTTGACATTAAACCTTCATCTCTCTCGGCATTGCAATAAGAAGGTACAAATAATCCTCTGTCGATGTTGCTTTCCAGGCCATATGAGTTTATTACTCCTGGGGTGTAACGTGCCACTATAAAGGTACAGGGCAGACCTTGACGCATTCCGAAAGCTCTCCCGATGCCCATATGACTGGTTCCTTTCCATATCAACTGCATGAAGTTCTTTGTGTTTGGTTGAATGGTCCGCTTGCTCCAGTCCATGTAACAAACTTGCGTATACCTGCAATTAGTTTGTGTAAAAGATTTTACATTTTGCTTGTGATTTGCCGATAAAATCTGGCCATGCTATTAGTTAGGCAAAACAAGCAAGCTAGATATATACGACAGCAGTGGGTCCCTGGCCACACAATGTGCTTATTGCAATAAAACAAAGTGAAATGACATGGCAGGAGATGACATGATATGATACCGAAAAAAAAAGACATTCTTGGTGGTGTTGCTGTAAGAGCTCATAAGCATAATGACCCAAAATAATTCTACTCACCATCTGTGTACGGCTCCAGTGGCGGTTAGCCCTCCCCATTCACTGCATCCTCTAGCTACATTATCGCCTTCTCCCTCCCTCCTAAGGTTTTCCCAGACTTCGTGACGTGCTACGCCCATCTTAGCTAGGTTTTTGGCAAACTTTTCCGCTTCTCTGGAGAGCCGTTCGCTAAGTTCCAGGGGAGGAGCCCTGTGAATAGCACGATATTTGTTGTGTGCCACAAGAGCTTCCCGTTGAAAATAGTCATCTGTTATCAAAGTAAAGGAATATTTAAATGAGCAGACAATTTATCCACTCTGAGTAGCCTGGTAATCATTAAGTAAATTCTGCCTTCGAGCCTAGTGGTTCATAGGCCGGTGGAAATCTCCGGATTCAACCTCTTCCTTCCTCGGTGGGAAGATAATCACTGCAGGGTCGCATCCCAAAATTTTAAATCCGCCGGCACCCATTTATACACCTAGATGGAAAGAGTCACTGTGAGAATAAAGTATCTTGCCTAAGAAAACAACACTGTGACCACGTCAAGGGCTAAAAATCTGGACCACTACGCACTAAACATTAGGCCACCACCCTGCGATTTAGCTTTACTAATACAAGCTAAGATAATTTAACTTTCATCGGCAAGGTCTTTAATCACCAAGTTAATGCAAACATTACTAACTTATCATTTAGTTAAAACTATATACTTAAGTTTAGTTAAAGAATATGTGAAACACCGTTACCGGTCTCGGCGCCATACAAGGGTGATCCAAACTCGTCAACTGGCACATATCGCCGATTTGATAATGGAGTGATTGGATTGCCTGCTGAAAACGGTTCGTCGTCTTTACTTTCTTGATTTTGCTCGAGGTTGCTAGTATTGTCGCTGATTCTTTGGGTGTTATCCATTTCTTTTTCCTCAGGGCCATCGCTTTCTTCTTGCAAGGCTGTGGAATTTTCTTGGTCTTCAGCTAATTGATCTGTATTTACAGCCTTGTTTTCCTGATTGTCATAAGGTTCGTTCATTATGACGTTATCTTGGTAGTTAGTCAAATTTATTGAATCTCCAAAACCTTGACCTCCTATAGACTCATGGTCATTCTCGTAAACTAGTTCTGTCTGATTCTGCTCTGATATTCTAGACTGGTGCCCGAACGTCTCCTGTTTCAGCGATTCGTCGTCGAAAGTAGAAGGATAAACGCTTTCATTATTGTGAAGACCATGGCCTGTTATCCTTTCCATCTCATATCCATCTTCTTCTTCTTCCTTATTTCCAGCCTGGCTTGCATTGCTAGGCTGTGTTGGCAATTGATTTGGTTGCTGGTTACTTTCATTATTATGAACACCCCCAGAAAGATTATCATGTGTTTTAGAGAGGTTGTTTTTTGGACCTTGTGTTAACTGCGCTTCCGAAACGTTTGAAATAGTAGTGTTGTTATGGAAGTCTACATGATCTGCTGACTGGTTTGTCAAATGAGCACCTTTTACTCGCACCCCTTGGGCTTGGAGTTGAATAGGAGGGGCAGGGTTATAAAAAAGCACTCCACTACTATTGTGATGCATATTCACTTGAGAGGTGTTTTGACCTGTAATATCAGAACTTACATTCCCTTTCTGTACAGTGGGCGTTACGGCATAGGATCCCTTCTTATTTTCTTTTGTGAATATCAAAGGCTCTCCCATCACAATAATCTCTTCATCCAAGAGCGTGTTAGCTATTAAAGCCGATTGAGTTTGAAATTGTTCCACAGGAGACATCACCTTGTTCATGTATTTGCTGTTCGGTCGAGGTTTTGCTTTCCATTCAAGCCTTGGTCCTGCGCTTGAGTTAACTGTAGATGTTCCAAATCTCGAAACGCGTACGCCAATGTTGATCGTTTTGCTCCGATTAAGAGGAACTCCAACCAAATTCAAGGTTTTGACATTATAGTTGTTCTGTGTTGTGTTCACTCCCATTTCTTTTCCACGAAGTTGTCCATTTAGGATATTGGTGAAAGCATTTGCTTTTCTGATTTTCTTTACCTTTTTCAACTCCTGAAAAGTTGCCAATGGTGGATGCAGTTGTTTTTTTGAAGCGTTGGAGTCAAATGGCAGTGTTTTACGTTGCACGGGAAGAGTGAATGCAAAACTCAATGAGTTCGAATCTGAGGAAGACTTTTGAAAGACACGCGGCACTGTCATTCTTTCTTTTCCCGACTGATTCTTGATAAAATTCTCATCACCATTTCGTGAAAACAATCCAGTGAGCTTGGCTGAAGAGGCTGATAAGACATTGAGATATAAGTTATTGTATGGCAAACATCTCGTTGCAGAGTTAATATACCGCGTATTCACTGTTCATTCCCCCTCCATTTTCTGCGATTGCGTTGTGGCCGAATGTAATCTAAGAGAATATATTCATAAATGCAACTTAGCAGGGCTAATAAGTCTCTTGACTGTTCTTATCATTCAACCCCTTTCTGAGGCTAGCTTGAGCGCAGTTAATTTGAGCTGATTAGCTATAACTGCTTTAACAGTCATCAAACGTATAAAGAACGCAGATTTTCCTCAGATTTTGCTTCCAGAAACGATTTCCTGGGCAGACATGTTAACTATGTTCAGGCAGCAAATTTGTAGCCAGAGTATGGTAGGACCGGTTAGCCGAAGGAGTTGCGTTTATGTTCCTCAAAAGCAGGCTATATATATATTGATTCCACATCATCGCTGGTCTGGTTGTGCTCGTGTATGTTACTTTAAGTCTTATTTGTTCTTACCTGGTTTTACTCCATCTGCTAAGTGGAGCACAATCACCATGCATGATAAAATATACATTTTCACATCGACGTTTGTCAACAGAGAGTACATCTATTGAACTAATTCTTCAAGCATAGCTCGGTTTTCTTCTGTTAGAATGCAGCAACCAAAAACAACTTAAAGAAAGCTGAAAGAAAATTGAGATGGTCAACCCGGATACTTTCTATGACTTAAACCTAATGGTGACCGGCCAGGTTTAGACGATCTGCATGAGGGTGATGGAATCTTAGTTATTAGTTGAATTTTCGGTGCTTTCTTAGCTACCAGTTAAAATTTCAGCGGTTATCAGTAATTGTTGCCGATTTCAGATCTCGGCTATAGGTTAAAAAACGCCGCGTCATTTCTCAACTGACAGTTAACTAAAATTTGATCAATTCTGGCCTGTCATTTAAACCTCACTCAGAGTCCCATTTCAGTCTAATGCGATCTGTCGATTTCGCGGAAATTTTCTAAAAATTGCATGTTTTCATCAGTACTGCAGGAAATATGTCATTTTTGTGGCATTTTAAATAACCACATCTGAACGGCGAAAACCCAACTCACTTTACTGATGTGTATTTTGGCTTTAAATCAACGACTAAAACATTGGGCCATACATAAGTTCTGTCCTTTCGCCAATTTGAGGGTAAAGTCAATCCAGTGTCACACTTTAAGCACTTATAAAACAAGTTAAGACATTTTTCCTTTTAAAATGATTCATGTATGTGTTGAAAATGAATGAAGGGTATCCATTTATGAATGAGATCTAATGAGACCTTTATATTGCTAGTTTTCAACCGGATTTAGTTTAGAAAGTTGGAATACACCGCATCAGCAATCAGGTTAATCCCAAATGTTCTTAATTAAGGACTTTTCTGATACTCCTAACACAATTTAGGTTTACACTTAAGGCCGGATTCACGTTTATGAATTTGAGATGGTTACAGCATAAATCACCAGCATCATACAAAATGGGCAACGAAAATTTAATGTTGTTGAGATTCGCTGAGCAGTTATTATCATTTGAAATCAGTGCTTGCCAAAAGAAAGGAATATTTACAATATTTAGTTTTGAAGGTCTTCTAAACAGGCTTAGAGAGAGGAGTTAAACTATTGTAAACATATTCAAGTAAACTGTAAATCTTGAAAGACCTTATTGCGATAATGGAACCTACCTTTACGATGACAATCTAATTTTTTATGAGAAATCCATGTTTAAGCAGCGAAAAAAGAGGAAACTATGTACCGATATGAAGACAATTTCAGACAATCTGCAAAGTATGAGGTCATGATCGAACTTTCGATATACAATCTTCAACTCCTTCTTGTCACGCCTTCTCTGATGTTGTACCTTCCACAACAGCAGGTACAAGCATTGACATTTCAGTCATATGTTTCCTGATTTCTGGTCACAGATTTAAACTCAAACTGGCCACCATGAAGAGCGTGCTTGTCTCTTACTTCTACGACAAGACTCTGCGACGATCGAAACTCCCCCTCCCCCACTAGGTTTGGTTTATTAGTACATATTAGTTGAGCTACAGGAGTAAAACAAAGAATCACAAAGTTTTATTTGCAATTTAACAAATCCACATCATCATTGTCAGTTTGGAATTGCCCATCTCCATATAAATGTATCGGCGCCTTTGACTCCTTTCGACAAGCTGTGGAAGTCTTTTTAGAAAGTGGCAATATAATACGGCTCTAATGTCATTCCTGCAGAAGCTAAACGTAACAAACACACTTTTTTCCATCTAACTCTGAAAAGGCACAAAAGCCTCGTCCTCGACCTGTTCCCGGTTCAACTATTTGAAATCACTATAATATTCAGCGCTCTTGGTAGCCTTTTGTCTCATCATATTTGTTCATTGCCATCACTCGTTTTTTAACCATTTATTTTTTAAACTTCAGGAGTATGTATGATAAAGCCTCTTCATTTACACTGCCAGCATAGTTTTAGGAAATATATTACTGATTTTAGCAGGCCACGAAGGAACTCTAATACCCTTGTGATGAAAATGCAGTCGCAAGTCTTCATGAGTCCCTGGACTGCATCGAATTAAATTAACAACTAGCTACTAAAAGAACGAACAAGAACGAGCTTTGACTATTATGAAGGAGAGTTTGAACTCCGGGGAAGGGGGGATACCCGTATAAAAAGGACGGGAGAGGAATTTTTGTTTTTTGGGCGTGGCTTGAAATGTTTTTCACCCTTAAGAGGTACCAATTCTAAAAACACCGCATTATTTGCTGTTATATTGTTTTCGGCTCAATACCCTAAGAGGTACGAAAACTGTCTTTTTAACCCCTAAAAGGTACGACGACCGGAAAATTCAGCAGGTTGCAGAAAAATGTAGGACTATTGACCGTATTTTAAATGATTGTACACACTGAGCTCACACATGGATAGGATTTAGACCATGGTCTTTATTTCATTACAAACCTTNCCCCCCCCCTCCCGTGGTTTAAACTACCACTCTTGCCTTTCAACTCATTCCAAGATTCTCATTAACTGTTCACTGTCATGCCCTTTATTTCGTTGAAATTGAAGCTGTTCAGTTGTTAAGTTATTTGACCAGCAAATCAAAAGTACACGAAAGATTTAGACAAAGACAGCCTAGAGATAAAGTGATCTCTGCACTTTCGTTATGTTCACGTATTGTATATGTCATTCCCACTGGTCTGGGATGCGCTGATTAAAGTCACTGAAAGCTTAAAAATAAGATACTTTCCTTTCACACTTCACTAGTTAAACTTTTTCTATTTTCGTGCATATTTGTCTGGAATTTTTCGTCAGGACTGGCATAAAGGTAAATAAAGAAATTTCTTCCGCTGATTAAAATAAAATGTTGAAAGGCCCTGGCATAACCCTGGTATCGGCACTTGGGGAGGTGGGGGGTCCCACCCATGTATTTCCAACAGTATTGACTCAGTAGAAATTAAACGAACATAGAATGGAAAGGTGATAATTTCGTATCAACCATAACGTTTTGACATGGCTAAATTACGTCCCATTCAAAATGTACACCAGCTTAGATCCGCCATCTTTGATTTTAAAATGTTTTCAGAAATATCACCTCAGCTCCAAAATTGATTTGAAAATCACAATAACTGCCACATTTTGGTGAACACCGTTCGAGACATGGTTAGAAACGTCAAGTCACATGACCAGCTAAATGACACATCAAAATGCAACCTTGATCTTGGGCTCTGTCTCATTTGCCTCCCTTGTCCTAGAGGAGAGAGACCCTGGTTGCTGCTGGTCGCGTTACTACCTGTAACACAAACTTCACCTCAACGAAAAGGCAGGAAAAAGAGAGAGAGAGCCTGGGATCGAGGCTAACCAAAATGCTCCCCGGTAAGTTTCAGGAAAAGTCATGAGGTTTGATAACTACAATTTGAATGCCGTCCAAGTTTAAAACAAATTAAATCTGAGCGGGTACTTTGTGTTCAACTGCTCCCTCCTTAAATTTGAATACTGTTTGGCAGTATTTGAAAACCTTATACCTGCTTGCGTTTGATGGTCAACTGAACGATGCGTGGCGCCCCATTAAGTTCGTAAATAAAACGCATACAACAGGACATCTTTGTAGACTTCTACAAAGACTGTATTCATAAACAAATTGGAGAATAACAACATTCAAGACAGCATTCGCCAGATTCGCAGACAAGAACGTATTTCCATCGTTTTCTCAAGAGTTCGCGTCCAGAGTTCAATGTTCAGTTCGTGGGGGATAGAGTCGATAGAACCATGCAAAATTCACGTGCATAACACGTTCCGTCCCAATTTGCAACAAGTTCCTATTCTTCCCATGCGTGATTTGAAGTGAAGCAGTGGCGGCCAAATTACTGCTAAAGGAACTGATTTTAAAATGTCTGATAAACATCGTTAATGTAAAGCTCGATTTCTTTGGGGCAGATTTATTAGCCAAATCGCCAGAATTAGAGAAGTGTGTATAAGCTCTTATCCCTAATTTATTCTCTTATTTGAAAAGTAAAAAGAAAAAAACAAAAGAGAGAATAAATTAGGGATAAAACCGCATGCATACTACATCCGATTTGGTTTCTTCGACGAGTCATTACAAAATAAAAGTCAGTCACTAACTTTTGAGCTAAGATCAGTTGATCAACAATGGTTGACATGTGTTTTCATCAGAAAATTTACACCAGACTCTTGGAAATGTCCAAAGTAGATGTCATGCGCGGCTTCACTTTTTCATTGTGGTTAGGTTCCTCATGACTGTTTATCAGTCTTTCTATTCATTAGAGCGTTCCAGAATAGCTATAATAACTTAGCTGGAGGCTGAACTTAAAACACTGAGCTGGCTTTTTGAGGTATCTTCAAGCCCTGTTTCTAAACTTTTAAGAGGATTTCTTACTACTGAAACGGGTGTAAGAAAATGAAATTTTTATATCTAACATTCGATAATGGTATATCAGAGCAGAATTCAGTTTTACGAGAACTGCAGTGACTGTCGCAGCAACTTTTCTAATTACTATCGCACGACTAATTTCTTTGTGAACTGTCTGAAAACATATCTGTGTGGTCTACAACTTTGGCGTGCATTTCATCTTGGGAAGAGTAATAGTTGAGATCAGTAAGAGGTTAAATTTAACTGCAGGTGATATTTGTCGATTGTCAAATTCTTTGTAGGCAAAGTACATTATTAACCAGGTTGAGAGCCACACTGAGGGGTATATTATTCCCATTGCTTTACTGTAAGACTGTATTGTTTAAATTTGTTTTAAGGCTATTTTTGGTTGTTTGTCGGCCTGCATGGCCACTCATGCAGTCTCTTATAACAATTAGACATAGTTAAACATACTTATGTTGCCAGAAGAATCGAAATACCTTCTAAAATAATTTTATTCCATGGCAAAAAGTTGCCGTCCAAATCTTAACTGATTGAATTTATCCTTGGCATGTACAAGCACCTAGCGACGAATCAACAATCTTTCCACGTAGCCTTGCCAAGTTGTTCTTCATCATTTCATTCTTTAATATCAATTTGCTAACACAATTAATGGGAAATCGTTGATGCGCAAAGTTCTTTGTTATTAGTCTGAAACCGTCAATATGATTTACAAATTTGAAGCGCATTTGTAGCCCAGTAGGTTAATTACTTAGCGATACCGAAAAAATCGTCCTGAGCGATTTTGCCAAAATCATATGCAACCGAACGTTTTGCAACTGGAATTTTAAAAGCACCATTTTTAAAAGGGCCTCCCACATTCGACTTGCCTTTAGGCAGTTTACTTTTATAGAGAAATTCCCTTGTTTAGGTTAGTTTCTGCTTAATAAAGTAACCCTACTGATCCGTAGCTTAGAAATTCATGCCACTTTCAATTAATGTCTGTGCGAACGTTGCCAGAGAGGATCAAAGGTTTCGTTGACAACTTTTTTTAAGGATCCACGGTTAGTCGGTTAGACATTTGCTCCTGGGTCGGAACGCAACGAGTAATTAGGAAAAAATGTCGACGTCACGTCGCGTATCTGCTTCGCGAAGAGAGTAGTTTGTTATGCAGATGGCTACACTCCAGGAGTCGAAGAAAGAAGGGTTTCTTCATTTTTCAGTCCTTGTACGACCAAATGAAAGAGTCGTTTCCAAACCTTATTCAGAAATGGACGAGAATCCTTTGCGCAGACTATATTACAAAGGGAAAAATAGTTATCTTATTGACGTTCGGACGGAATGGCTATTTTGGAATACTGTAAAATAAATTACTTCTAAACCAAGCGAACCCTTAGTTAATTCTCCTGCTTTATTCACCTGTTCGGTGTAGCATTTGGAGGCTACATTGTGTTTTTGGTTATCTAGCTCTCTTTTTTACTACAAATTGGCCCAAGCTCATTTCTTAAAACATTGTATGCGTCAAAACGTACCACGGCCGGGCGCGCAATCAACGCATGATGAGACGGAGCTTTAATTTGAGTAAGCGATGTTACTCTATAGAGGGCAAGCGACCAGGTTTCGTTTTTAGAATGGTAATCGAAACTTGGTCTTTAAAGGCCTAGGATATTGAATGTCTTGTCTTCTCCGGTTCATGTTAAAAATTGGCTTATGAAGCTTTAGTCAAGTAACAGAAGGCGAGACTCGTCGCTCCTCCGATCGACGAATATGGTGACCCAAGAATATTCTGGGCTCTCGATCATAGTCCGTTTATTCGGCAAGGTACTGAACAATAAAAGTAAGAAGTACATTTATGGGAATTTATCAGATTGCATTTTCGATAGTGACTAAGTACAGTTGTGAATTCACTACAGGGGATTTTTTTTAAATTGAACACAAGTATTGAAAACAATTAAAAGTACTGCGTATGTTGAATAGATCAACCAGAACAATAGAGGAAAATGAAGCCAAGTGGAAACAAGTGACAGATACCCAACTTTCAATAAAGCCAGCCGATAATTATTTTGCATGAATGCACCTTACGAAGGCTTCCATTAAAATTCTTGGATCCAGCTACAGAAGGCTTCGCATAAAGCCCGTCTTGCGTAACTTCAAGCTAAGCGAGATCCCATAATATATAATTATAAGATGCCGAAATATACCTTTTTTTGAACTGGACACCGCTATTGCCCACCTTAGATAAGGTGAATTAATTTATGTGTTTTGTGGATTGAGTCGATCCAGGAATTGGATTCTCTGTTTTTTTAAAGTTGTGTTCTCTGGTTTATATTAGAAATTGATTTAGGAATCGTTATAAAATCATTTTATAACGATTCCTAAATCAATTTCTAATAAAAGTAAAAACAGGCGAGACTCCTCGTTTATCAATTGAGCTGTGTCCCACGAATATTCTGGGCTCTTTCCTGATGGAACACAAGTACTGCATATCTTGGAAAGGTCAGCGAAAACAATGGTGGATAGTGAAGCCAACTGGAAACAACTGACAGATTTCCAATTCTTTTGTGTTAATGCATCTTAGGAAAGTCTGCATTAAAATTATTGCATGGAGCTCCATACTGTTCATTTTACCCGAGGTGTGGCGTTGAGTCACCTTGCAGGACTTAAAGGTAAGCGAAGCCCTGTGCTATGTGATTGTGTTCTTTTAAGAAGTTAGTCAAAGTGAGTTACAAGAGTACTATACGATGCGGAGATAACCCCAGATTTGTACTTTTCACCACTAATTCCCTCGTGAGAGACAAGGTAATTTGCGTGTTTTGTGGGTTGATCGCCACTTGCGGTCGCTGTAAATACCCAAAGAGAAGCACTTTTAAAACGAGCAAGTGAAATAAAAAACTGGCTCTTCGCTAATTATTTCGCGTTACTAGCAATCCTTTCACGCGGGAAAAACAGTTCCACTTCAAGAAAATTTTGTATTTTGGTCGTTCATCGAGAAGGGTCAAAAAATCTCGGACAGCTTTAGATATTCTCATCATGAAAATTCTATCGACGTCAGTGAATAAGTGAATAATGAATAAGTGAATATGTGAATAATTAAGTGAATAATGGAAGCAAATAAGGTGATTATGGGCAGTACGAGTGTGGCATCAGTAAATTACTACTAGGAATATTACTGAGTTAGCAAACAGTGACAGGTTCTGCTCTAAAAAAGTTTGCAAAAGTTGCAAATCTTGAAGGCGGCGAGCGAAACGTTACGGTACATTAATTTCGTCTGGTGTTATGAGCTTACAGTACACCGATATTAAAATTCTGTTATTCCCCTCAGATACAATGAAAACTCATTTACGCGTTTTGCGGAATAGTTCGCTGCAAATATTTCAATCACATGCACAAGAAACATTAAAGAAGGAAAGTGAGTTTTAATATTGATTTTTTGCTCATCTATTCTCTGTTCACGTCCCCTTGACTGAAAGAAGGATTTTTCTTCGAACGCGAAGTCTGTTCCAGTGAACTCTCGAGGACAACGGTTAAATAATTCCAGTTTTTTTTCTTTGTGATGCATTAAATGATTTCTTTCATCCCCTGATCAGAACTCATGTGTCTTCGTGCACTCGAGATAAACTGTTTCAAAACCAAAGAAACTTAAATATTCAAGCCATTTTTCAAACCACTGTCTGCACCAAGAGTAACATAAACAAAAGCGCAATTCACGCACGATGAGATAGGAGTTGATTTGAGTAAGTAATGTTACCCTATATAGAAGTTTAAGAATGCTTATCAGTGCAAAACATGTTCTTTAGAGACCTAGGAGTGTGATTCTCCTTTTATTAAGCTGTCTCTCTCTCTACATCTGGCTGATGGTAGAATTTGGTTCAGGAATGTTTATAAAGTAGAGTAGTAATAAGCGGCGCGCCACTCTTCGCCTCTCCATTGAACGATGACGCATGAATGTTCTGGTTTCTCATTGCCCGTTTTCTCCAGGTTTATACCATTGTTAAATTACATGATTGCAGACCGAATTGAACAAATGTCATTAATGGGGAGAATAAACGTAAGATGCGCGAAGAATAAAAGTAAGATTACATAAAAAGTATAAATTTACATTAGTGAATTCACTGCAGGGGAATTTTTTTTTTGAATTGAAAACAAGAATTGAAAACAAGCACTGCGTATCTTGAAAAGGCCAGCGAAAACAATCGAGGAAAGTGAAGCCAAGTGGAAACAACTGACAGATTTTCAACCTTTAAATTACGCTAACGGATAATTCATTTGTCTGGATGCATCTTAAGAAAGTCCGCATTACAATTCTTGTATCATTCTCCATGCTGTTTATTTTACACAAGGTGTGGCGTAAAGTATCTTGCAAGACTTAATTAAGGCAAACGAAGCCGGCTGTGATTTCAATTGTGCCCTTTCATTAAGTTAGTCAAAGTCAGGTAGATGAGTACCATAAGACCCGAAACTATACACCTTTTTTGTACTCAGCTCACCTTTATTTCCCTTCTGAGATGCAAAGAAATTTGCCTGTTTTGTGTGTTGGTCGCCGCTATGGCTTGCTGCAGACAGAGTAAGAGAAACACTTTTGAGACCAACAAAGCAGAGCCAAAACTGACTTTTCGCTAAATATTTCGCGCTAGCAATTCTTTCACTGGACAAAAAGGGCTTCATCTCAGGAAAAAAATATTCCAATGTGACGTGGTCGCCGTGTAGAGAAAGATTTCGAAAAACTCGACGTATTCTCATTGTGGAAATTTGTTCGACGTCTGTCTTGTTAAGCACCGGAGTTTATTTTTCAGTGAATCATAGACGCAAATAAGGAGATTATGGATTGAATACCATGTGCATCGTACCAAGACCTAACGACAGGATTACCAATTCACTTAAAGAGAGGGACTATGATTCTTATGCATTAGATAAACTTCAATCATCCTGTCTGTGGTTGAATGAATTTTCTGAACTCTTGCCTCGGGCTTACTGAGTTCTCCTCCGGTTGTTTATTCCAGACGTACAAGACTCTTTCGCTTATAATTAGAGCTTACAAACCTTTTTGTGGACGTTTGCGCTCTTCATGTCTTGCCCGACTGATAAAACGCGCTCCTACTTTTGTTCTTGTTTTAAACAAGAGGAAAATCGAATGTTTAATCAGTCCTAAAATAAACTTCTGCATGCCAAGAATTTTCTAGGATCACGAGAAAACAGGGATTGTATTGGTTTTATGAATTGGGTGACTTCCTGTACGCTATTTAAGCTACATCTCCAATAATTACACATACGCATACAGAGTGTGGTAAGACATACAGCAATAAAACCTATTTTCCTGTTATCATGCCTGATCAGATCAGATTTTTAAGGAATGAACAAAACAACCAGCCATTTTTTAATGTTAGGAAACCTTTGTTGCACCATTATCTGCCTCAGGTGCAACAAAGCGAGGTCTCTTCTGTACCCACCGTCGTGCCGTTTCTGGCAACTTTCCGTTTGATTCTTCTTCTAGCTTGAATTTATTGCTTTTCAGTACCCTGGGATCTACTGTGATAGGCTATGCTGTAGTGGTCTCCCTGCCTAATGAATTTTTAATGTATATAAAATAAGTTAGTATTTTAGTTAGGCGAAGTTGAATAAATTAAAAAAAAATTGTTCCCTGTTATTTTATTTTTATTCAAAACACACGAAATTAACCATTTTGATCGTTTTCTTGTTTTAGCTATTTGCGACCTGAAAATGAAGCTCTGGCTATTTGTCATCGTTTGTTATGTTCCAGCGTCATTCTCAGGTTAGATTTGTCTGTCAGGTTATGGGTTGGTTTGTTTTATTTAATTTAAGAACATTAGCAGATTTTACTCTAGGCTATTCAGACCGGACTTTTCTTTTTGGTCCTCTACAACCGTGCACCATAGATTTATAACACTTCAAAAATAGTTCTTAAAACTGTGACGTCATATGAGGTAAAATGACGTTACAATTACGGAGCAGCTAGCCACCATCTTTCATCCGCTTTCCTGGATCTATGGTTGTTTTAAAACGTTAAAAAAAAACCAACTAAACTGACTCTAAAATAATCAAAACCATAGCGAAAGCTAAGCTATCTAAAGCAAGAAAGATAAATGTTCTCTTCACTGAAAACAGGAAAATAAAGAATTAAAAAAAGGGTGTACCATAGTAATGTTGCCACGGAAAAATGTAGACCCTTGACCACTGACATACCATAGCAAATTTTATCAGGTAATGTTTTAAATAAGTCACAAATGAGAAGTTCGTGGCTTTTGCGTTTTAAAAGTTGCAAGTCGGTCCGGTTTGAATAGGGTTACAGCTCACAACAACCTCTTCAGACCCAGGGTCAGATAATCTATAGCGAAGTGACACTTTGAATAAATGAAGGGATGACCATTTTTTTCTCTCTGTTGTTATAGTTCGGGGATTATCAAATAAGGGAATCAGCGATTTTGTGTATCAAAGGACATTAATGGTTAATGCTGAGACCACATTTTGAACCGGTTTTGCAGCATACCGCAAACCAGGCTCAAGATCTCAGTTACTTGTAGGATATCACCAATCACCCCTACACAGTATTTTAACAGCTGATTTTTTTATATTACTCATGTTACAGGTTTTAGCAATGATTTTACTTTTATTAATATCCTACACAGTCACTTGCTTCAGTGTAAGTTTAGGCTTTTGCCGTTGTATCTTAATTATTCATTGGTAATAACAGCGATCGGTGATCGATCGACTGAATGATCTTACGTATTTGCAGCCTTGCCTTGCGGTTACACTACTTGGAGTTGCTGGTCTTACTGTGACGCTTCATGTGGAGATAAAATTCAATCTCGTGAAAGAAGCTGTACGAATCCCCCTCCTTCATTACCCGGATATGACTGTAGCGGGCTGGGCCCCTCGATAGAAGTACGTCAATGCTACGGACCAACAGATCAAATAGGTATGTGGATTTGGGTGTGGTGGTCAGAAATACAGCAAACTAGATAGGCATATAACAGTAAGGAGCATTTGCAGAAGTAAAATTTACAGGCCGTGTCATTCATACACCGCAAGGAATGCCTCAATAGGTTAAAGGACCTCATTTTTTTTTAAATTTTGTACTTTTTGTTACAAGTTTCAGTTTTGAATTTGATTAATGCTTAGCTCTTCCAAAAATTAGCAATAAAACCAATAAGTGAATGAACGAAAGAATGAATGGATGAACAAGGATATAGATAAACAAATCATTTAAACCTCGACGTCCTTCATATTAGCAATGTTTTTTTTTTACCTTTCCGCTTTTATCTGGAACTTCTCATTCATGAGCATTTTCATATATATTATTTATTTAAGATGTCGATGGGGGATACAACAGCTGGGGACTGTGGTCTGAGTGCACCAAGGATTGCGGAGGAGGAATACAGTACCGCACAAGGTGGTGTGTAGATCCTCACCCTCAAGGAAAGGGGAAGGAATGTTCAGAACAGAAAGAACTTGGACCAGCTATAAAAAGTCGATCATGCAATGAACATGACTGCAGTGAAGGTACAAAAATTTACCAACAAACACCATTCCTTTCGACAGCTCATTCTTTCATGGGCGGAAATCAGCCTTATACACATTATATATATATAATAAGAACAGTTTTGTCCAGCGTAATATATATATTACAAAACTGTTCTGGATCAACGTTTTACGACAGAAAAATTAAAACGTAAAACAACATTCTAAATGAGACTCTTATTTCTCAGAAATCACGTGATTTAACATACTTTTGTGACTCTGTTGTCAAATTTGGACAAGGTGTAACCCAAGCCTTTTTAGCGTTATCGATATAAAAATACGTTTCCAGGTGTGGAATTTAGTAGAGTTTAAGACAATCTCAAAATTAGTCGTGTCATTTTGTTTGTTTTATTTTTTTGTGGTCAAATGTCGATCCACAACAGTTTTGTCCAGCATACTACGCACAAATATTGCATCCTTCGTTGCTGTATCAGGTTGTGATTTGCAGCCATGCAAGCCCAATGAACTTTAAAATGGTTACGTAACGGTTTTACGCGCCATGAAAAAGTTAGCCTTAATAAATTCATCGTTATTATCTCTTAGTGAACGTAAATAAAAGAACTTAAAATGCCGTGATTGGGCTCCTTCATATAGCTCGAAATTATGAATTATTTAATTGTGAAATAAAATTTGCCTCACTGCATTTTAAGTAACTATAGCAGCTGAGTAGTTTGACTCGAACTATTTGTGTTTCCTTAGAACCGACTGAGGCACCGACAACGCAAGAGTCGTCCGAGGCACCAACCACAGAAGAAGAATCAACCGAGGCACCAACGACAGAAGAATCGTCCGGAGCACTAACAACGGAAGAATCGACCGAGGCCTCAACGACAGAAGAATCGTCGGGGGAACCAGCAACGGAAGAATCGACAGAGGCATCAACGACAGAAGAATCGTCCGGGGCATCAACAACGGAAAAATCGACGACGGAAGAATCGACAGAGGCACCGATTACAGAAGAATCGTCCGGGGTATCAACAACAGAAGAATCGACCGAGGTATCCACAACGCAAGAATCGTCCGAGGCACCAACCACAGAAGAAGAATCAACCGAGGCACCAACGACAGAAGAATCGTCCGGAGCACTAACAACGGAAGAATCGACCGAGGCCTCAACGACAGAAGAATCGTCGGGGGAACCAGCAACGGAAGAATCGACAGAGGCATCAACGACAGAAGAATCGTCCGGGGCATCAACAACGGAAAAATCGACGACGGAAGAATCGACAGAGGCACCGACTACAGAAGAATCGTCCGGGGCATCAACAACAGAAGAATCGACCGAGGCACCAACAACAGAAGAATCGATCGAGGCACCGACTATAGAGGCACCAACAACAGAAGGATCGACCGAGGTACCAGGGACGGAAGAATCGACCGAGGTATCGACGACAGAAGAATCGTCCGGGGCACTGACGACAGAAGAATCGTCCGGAGCACCAATGACGGAAGAATCGACCGAGGCACCAGTAACAGAAGAATCGACCGAGGCACCAGCAACGGAAGAATCGACCGAGGCACCGACAACGGAAAAATTGACCGAGGTGCCGGCAACGGAAGAATCAACCGAGGCACCAATGACGGAAGAATCGACCGAGGTACCAACGACGGAAGAATCGACCGAGGCACTGACAACGGAAGAATCGACAGAGGCACCAACAACGGAAGAATCGACCGAGGCACTGACAACGGAAAAATTGACCGAGGCATCGACAACGGAAGAATTGACTGAGGCACCGACGACGGCAGGACCAACGACAGGTAAAACGAAACTTACAAACTCATCAGGTATAAGCTCACTCAATACTGCCCTGCTAAGCACCTAATCTCCTCTGCTGCTTGGTACTTGTCGACTGTGATTGTAAACGTCCTACTGCCGACTACATGCACACCCAAAACTGGGTCTGAGCTATTTGTGATTACTAAAGAACAAACAATTGTTTGTTGTTTGCACTGCTTACGGGAACTTACATGACCAGCTACATAACGTAAAACGTCTATAACCTAAAGCTCCCTACAACTTCCATTCTCAATTTTTTTGGGTTATTTTTAAAAATTGGTTATTTTTTTAGGACCACCTTGTATAAAAGCCCTTGACCTTGGCATAATAATTGACAAATCTAAGAGCGTGAGGAAACGTAATTTGAGAAAGCTAAAACAGTCCTTGGAATCATTTGTCAACTTATTTGATGTTTCGGCGGAAGGAACTCACGTCGGAATGATTTCATTCAATGACGACGCTGAATTGCTGTTCAATTTTAAAGACGATCGTTACCATACAGAGAATCAGTTAAGGGAAAGAATAAAAGAAATACCTTTGAAACTGGAACTTAAGACGAGGACCGACTTGGCGCTGACATTGGCAAAGGAGAAGTTGTTCTCTGTGGAAGGTGGTGATCGACCTGATGTGCCAAACGTGTGTATAGTGTTCACTGATGGAAAGTCAACGGGCAAGCCTAAGCACAAAGGATTCGTCCCAATTCCGGAAACTGTGGAAATTCTTACTGAAGTAGGTATCCATTCATTCATCCGTCCATCCACCCATCCATTCAGCCCCCGAGCCAATCCTGCAACTATCTATCCCGCCCTACCTCCCTCTGTCCATCCTTAATATATGCCGTGTTCAAATAAACGATTCCATCTATCCATCCGTGCGTCCATCAGTCCACCTGTGGGTCCCCTGTCAATGCCTCCCCCGCCACCCTCTTTCCTGGAACGAGAACTTTTTTTATTGAGCTTGGTTTTTCATGATCAACTTCTAGCCTGCTTACAATAAATGAAAATTCTTTATTGTAATTACAAGAATTTTTGCCCTCCTCGTCACGCCACGCGACGCCACGGCAAAGGGTTCCCTAGCGTTATCATTACGCGGGGTAGAATACTCACTGACATCCATTTGATCTACCAGGTTAAAAAGGTTCATATGATTGCCGTCGGAGTCGGGAGAGGCATAAAGGACTCAGAATTGAAAAAACTGGCTGGAGATAAAGGACACTACGTGCACCCTGTAGACTTCAACCATCTGTCTTACATTTTGGGAAAATTGAAAGACGCCGCTTGTGGTACGGTTCTTATTTTTCTGTTTATCCTCTCCTGTAATATCCATCAGCCGATAAACACCTTAAACATTTTAAAATCACCTTAAAATGAAATTCCAATCAGTTGATATTCATTAGAAACATGCATTGAAAGGTAAGATTGATAATATGTATGATATGTGTTAAATGGCTACCTTTGCAACACTTCTTGAAAGACACAAATTTCAGTAACATACTAAACCGAATATGTTCCAACACTGAAAGTGGTTCGAAATATATGGGAAGCTCTGGTCTCTATCTGGGGCAGAAGACTAAAACTTAGCGTTTCAACGAACGTAGAATATTGAAACCTTTCGGCAACATTTCTTCTATTTTCCATAGAAAACGTCAATAAATCAAAAACACATTTTTGCAAGGTGTTCAGAACTTTTAAAAACTATATTTTTTGACTGATCCGTCCAAATGTATTTAATCAAGCTGCTACATTTCGGTATCCTTTATATTCTTAATCAGTCATTTGTTCTTGATTCATCATGATATGCCTATACAATTTTGCTCTATACCTCAAGCTGATGCCGAAACAGATTACAGCAATGGAGGCTCTTATCCCTACTATTATGGTAGAAGATTCAAAAACATTCCTGGAGGACTTCTGGATGATCGCCGTATGCGCTGAGACGTCGCTCTACACACTGAGCCCACTTTTGGCAGATGCACCAACTTTTGGTTCACAATATATCGCACCTTTTCAAAATAAAATAAAATAAAGTACATTAATGATAGTGGGTATGATATGTAATAGTAAAGCAGTGGCAGCTAGCAAGTCAAATTACTGCCAGAGGGAACTTAAATCTTGAAAACTGTTTTTGACATGTAAAATGTATGATGTAAGTGATTATTGCAAACGCTCGATTACTTTGGTGCAGATGCATTGGACGAGCATAGCAATAAAAATCATTCAGTAACTCGAGCTAAGAACAGCTAATCAGTAACTGTCGTCAAAAGAAAATTTACACCAGAGTCTTAGGGATGTCCAAAGTAGATGTTATGTGCGGCTTCACTTTTTAATTGCGACTAGGTTCTTTATGACTGTTTGTCAATCTTCCTAGCCATTCGAGCGTTTCAAGAAAAGTTACTGTAACTCAGTTGAAGGTAGAAATTACAAGCTGGCTTTTTGAGGTATCTTCAAGCTCTGTTTTCTAAAGAGGATTTCTTTCTACTGGAGCGGGTGTAGGAAAATCAAATCTTTATATATCACGTTCCGAAACGATATATCAGAGCAGTCTTCAGTTTTCTGAGAACTGCAGTGACTGAAGTAGCAACTGTTTGGCTCTATAATTTCTATGAAATAACTATCGCATTGGAAAATCATGCCAGAATCCTTGAGGCGCACGACTTATCTCTTTGTTAGCCGTCTGAAAACATGTCTGTATACGGTTTACAACTGACTTCGGAGTGCATTTGAAGTTTCGCGAAGAGTAAAATTTGAGATCAGTAAGAAATTGAATGCAACTGCAGGTGAACTTTGTCGATTGTCAAATCTTTGTAAAACAAAGTACTTTAACAACCACGCTAATGACGAGACCACACCGCAATGTAAGACCAAATTGTTTAAATTTGTTTTAAGGCTATTTTTGGTTGTTCATCGGCTCGCATGGCCACTCATGCACATGCTCATGCATTCTCGAATAACAATCAGACACAGTTAAACATACTTTTGTTGCTAGAAGAATCGAAATACGTTCTAAAATAATTTTATTTCATGGCAAAAAGGTGACGTCCAAATTTTAATTGATTGAATTTATCCCATACATGCTCTACCTCGTGACAAACTTTGAATTAACTATCTTTCTACAGAACGCTATCAAGTTGCTCTTCATCATTTCATTCTTTTATGTCAATTTGGTGCCACAGTTAATGGGAAATCGTTGACGCACAAACTGAAGTTCTTTGTTAACAGTCTGAGACCCATCAAAATGATTTACCAATTTGAAGCCCATCTGTTTGCCATTTTGAGCGGGTCCACTCACATCCTGCTGCCCTGAGGCAACTTGCTTTTATAGAGAAATTCCGTTGTTCAGAGCGGATTCCGACTAATACATTAATCTTATTGATCCGTATAAATGTGATCGCGAACTAGATAATTTCCATCGTTACATAGAATTAGTAGCTCAGAAATTCACGCCACTTTTTCGATCAATGTCTATGCGAATTCGAACGGTGTCCGAGCCGATCAAAGCTTTCTTCGATAATTAACTCCATTTTTAAGGATGCTGATGCATCAGGAATTCTACTCTACAGGGTAGGAAGGAAACCGATCTGTGTCAAGAGTGGATTATTACACAAATAACCACACTCCAGGATTCGGAAAGTGTTGTTTCCCTTTTCCTTGTGCGAACAAATGAAAGAGTCGTTTCCAAACCTTACTCAAAGCACAAGAATCCTTTGTGCAGGTTATATTACAAGCGGAAAATAGTTGTCTCATTGACGTTCGGACGGAATGCCTTTTCTGGAATATTGCTACTAATCAAGCGCATCCTTAGCTAATTTACCTGCTTTATTCACCCGTTCGGTGTAGCATTTGGAGGCTGCATTTGTTTTAGTTATCTGGCTCTCCGTTCTGTATCACCAATTGGCCCTAGGTCATTTCTCAAACCATTTTCTGCGGCAAAAGTACTGTGGTCGGGTGCGCAATACACGCATGCCGAGAATAAAATGAAACTTTCATTGGAGTATTTAATGCTAAGGAAAGTAACGTTATTCTATAGAGGGCCGGCAATCGTGTTTACTTCAGGTTACTGAAGAATAAAAGTAAGAAAGACAGCTATCAGAGTGAATTTTCGACAGTGACTCAGCTAAGTACGGTGATGAACTGCTGCAGGGGAATTTTTTCATTGAAAACTAATTGCGAAGGCAAGAATGGCGTATTTTGAAAAGGTCAGCGAGAACAATCGAAGAAAGTGAGGCCAAGTGGAAAGATCTGACAGATTCCAAACTTTTAAAGTCAGACAGTAATTCTTTCGTAAGAATGCACCGTGAGAAAGTATGTATTTAAATTTTTGCCTCGAGCATCAAGTTGTTTATTTGAGATAAAGACGACCCGTCAGGCACCTTGCATAACTTGAAGGTAAGCGCCTCGCCACTAATCTGTGCATATACGTTTTATGAGGTAGATTGTTGTTCTTTCTCCGTAAAAATATTTCTACCATTGTGCACAAGAAAAGGAAGGTAGCACTTAATATTAACCGGTCATCCCCTTTGAGTCAAAGTCCTTTTTAAACGTGTTCTAGTTTAGTTCTTTGTGGGCAACGGGTCTCCACCTGACGCATTGGGTATTCTTACCCCCTGATCAGAGCACGTGTCCTCGTGTACTCGACATAAAGTTAAGAAGCTCAGAAACCTTTAAAGTTTAAGCCATTTGTCAAACCCCTTTCTGTGTCAAAAGGACCACTGCCGGGCACGTAATTCACGCATGACGAGATGGAGCTTTAATTTGAGTGAGGGATGTTACTCTATAAAGGGCGGACGATCGAGTTTTGTTTTAGAATGACAATCAAGACTTTCTCTTTAAAGGCCTAAGAGTTTGATTCTCTTTTTATGAACTTGTCTTGTCCTCTGCAGTTCAAATTACAAATTGGCTTATGAATCTTCAATTAAAGTAGCAGAAGGCGAGACTCGTCGCTCCACCGATCCATTAAACTGTGACCCACGAATATTTTGGGCTCTCATTATCCGTTTATTCCAGGGTATTGAATAATGAAAGTAAGAAGTACATGTACAGTTTGAGAATTTATCAGATTGCATTTTCGATAGTAACTATAAGTGCAGTAGTAAATTCACTTTAGGGGATTTTTTTAATTGAAAACAAGCGTTGAAAACAAGTACCGCGTATTTTGAAAAGGTCAACAAGAACAATCGAGGAAAATGAAGCCAAGTGGAAACAAGTGACATATACCCAACTTTCAATAAAGCCAGGCGAGAATTCTTTTACATGAGTGCACCTTACAAAAGCTCCATTAAAATTCTTGTATCCAGCTGCTCAAGGCTTCGCATAAAGCGTCTTGCATAACTGGTAACTTGTGATTGTAAGATGCGGAAATATACCTTCTTGTACTGGTCATTGCTATTACCCTCCCTAGAGGCAAAGTAATTTGTGTGTTTTCTGGATTGGGTCGGTCTTGTTACTCGCTGCAAATACTTCTAACATTGTCTACAAGACGCACTAGAAATATTCAAACTTACTGGCCATCTATTTCCCGTTTATGTTATTTTGATTGATGCCAAATCGAACAGATTGATTTCTAATGGCCCAAGAATTAGTTCTCCCTTCGTGAAATGCTGGTACCTGGTTTATATTAGAAAAAGATTAAGGAATCTCCAGAAAATTAAGTAAAAACAGGCGAGACTCCTCGTTTCTCCGTTGTACAGTGTTCCACGAATATTCTGGGCTTCCTCTTGAGTAAAAACAAGTACTGCATATCTTGAAAAGGTCAGCGAAAACAATGGTGGAAAGTGAAGCCAACTGGAAACAACTGACAGATTTCCAACTATTAATCAAGCTACCGATAATTCTTTTGTGCTGATGCATCTTAAGAAACTCTGCATTTAAATTATTGTATCAAGCTCCATCCTGTTGAGCCGACACAAGGTGTGGCGTTGAATCATCTCGCAGAACTAAAGGTAAGCGAAGCCCTGTGCCATTCAATTGTGTTATTTCATAAGTTAGTCAAAGTAAGGTACAGGAGTATCATACGACCCGAAAATATTTCCCTGTTTTGTGTTGCTCACCGCTATTTCCCTCCTGAGAGGCAAACTAATTTGTTTCGCGGGTTGGTCGCGACTCTGACTGGCTGCAAATGCCCTAAGAGAAGCACTTTTAAAACGAGCAAGTAAAATACAAAACTGGCTTTTCGCTAATTATTCCGCGTTACTAGCAATCCTTTCACTTGCAAAAAGAGTTTCATCTCAAGAAAAATCGTTGTATTTTGGTCGTTTATCGAGAAGGGTCGAAAAATCGCGAACAGCTTGAGGTATTCTCATTATGAAAATTCTCTCGACATGCGTTTCATTGTTCAGTTCTCGAGCGGACGTTTAAGTGAATAATATAAGTGAATAAGGTGATTATGGGCAGTACGAGTGTGGCACTAGTAAATTACTACTGGGAATATTACTGTGTTTGCAAACAGTAAAAGGTTCTCCTCCAAAAAAGTTTGCAAAACTTGCCAATCTTGAAGGCGGTAAGCGAAACGTTACGGTACATTAATTTTGTCTGGTGCTATGAGCTTACAGTTCACCGATGTTATTCTCCTCATATACATTGTAAGTTCATTCACGCGTTTTGCGGATCAGTTCACTGCAAATATTTCTATCATTGTGGAAAAGAAACACCAAAAAAGGAAAGTGAATTTCAAGATTGACATTTTGCTCATCTATTTTCTGTTCACGACCCTTTGACTGATAGAAGGATTTTTCTTCCTACGAGAAATCTGTTCTAGTGAACTCTCATGGACAACGGTTTACAAATTCCAATTCTTTCTTCCTTTGCTATCAATGATTGATTTCTCTCATCCCCTGATCAGAACCCATGTGCCTTTGCGGACTCGAGATAAACTGTTTCAAAACCAAAGAAGCTTAAATATTCAAGCCATTTTTCAAACCACTGTCTGCGTCAAGAGTGACATAAACGAAAGCGCAATTCAGGCATGACGAGATAGGAGTTGATTTGAGTAAGTCATGATGTTATTCTATAAAGAAGGCCGCTGATCGCGTTTAAGACAGTGCTTATCAGTACAAAAATTGTCCTTTAAAGGCCTAGGAAAGTGATTCTATTTGTGTCAAGTTGTCTTTCTTTGCAGCTTGTTGATATTAGAAATTTGTTCAGGAATGTAAAAAAAAAAAAAAAAAAAAATGGGTAATAATAGGCGACACTCGTCGTTTCTCCATTGAACGGTGACGCATGAATGTTCTGGGTTTCATTGCCTGTTTTCTCCAGGTTTGTACCATTGTTAAATTACTTGATTGCAGACGGAATTGATCAAATTGTCATTAATGGCGAGAATAAACGTAAGATGTGTGGAAGAATAAAAGTAAGAAGCGCAGTCATCGGAATACGTTTTACATATTGAGTCAGTTGAGTACAGTGGTGAATTCACTACAGGGGAATTTTTTTAATTGAAAACAAGAATTGAAAACAGGCATTGCGTATCTTGAAAAAGTCAGCAAAAACAATTGAGGAAAGTGAAGTCAAGTGGAAATAAGCGACAGATTTCCAACTTTTAAAGTGACCCAATAATTATTTTGTATGAATGCACATTGGGAAAGTGTGCATCAAAATTCTTGTATCTAGCTATACGCGGTTCTTGCTTAGAGCATCCTGAATAACGTGAGGGTACGCGAAGTCCAGTGTTTAAATTTTAACTGATTTTGTACTTTTCACCGTTATCGCCCTCGCTAGCTTGGTGAAGACTATTATGGCGTATTTTTCGGGCTGAATCTATTCTGTTACTTGCTGGAAATACTTCTACCAGTGTGTACAAGAAACACTTAAAAAAAGGAAAGTGATTTTCAATATTGACTTTCTGGTCATCTCAGTATTTCCTGTTTTCGTTCCTTCGACTAATGTAAGGATTTCTCTTGCTAACGAAATATGTTTTAGTTTCGTTCTTCGCGGACAAAGATTTTAAAATGTACTCTACCTGATGCACTCATCATTTTAATTCCCTGATCAAAACACGTTTCATGGTGTACTGGAGATAAAGTGATTTAAAGCAAGTATTCAAGCCATCTTTTAAACCATTGTCTGCGTTATTGGTATTATGGCCGAGCGCGCAATTTACGCGTGAGGAGATGGTATTTAATTTGAGTAAGTAATATAATTCAATAAGGGCTGGCGATCGGGTTTCGTTTACGAATGGCGGCAATCGAAACGTATTTCTCAAATGCCTGGGAATTGTAGTTTCCTTTTATCAACGTTGTCTTCTCTGGTTCAATTAGCTAAAAAACTTTCAAAATGAAGTAATAATAGGCGACACTCGTGGCTTCTACGTTGAACGGTTGCCCACGAATATTCTGAGCTCTCATAGCCCGCTTATTCCAAATGTAAGAAGCGCGGTTAAGAGAGCGCGTTTTCGATTGTGTGACTAAGCTAAGTACAGTGGTGAATTCACTGCTGGGATCGAAGTTTCTTTCGTTGAAAACAAGTAGTAAACACCAAGTATTGCGTATCTTGAAAGTACAGTCAGCACAGACAAGTGAAAGGAAAGTGAAGCCAAGTGGAAATGACTGACAGATTCTCGGCTTTCGAAGTCAGACAGTGATTTTCTTGTATGAATGCACCGTGAGAAAGTTTGAATTTGAATTTTTGCCTCGAGATTCAATTTTTTCATTTCACTCAAGGCGTCGCGAAATGCATCTTGCAAAACTTGAAAATAAGCGACTCGCCATGCGGCACAGTATGATTATGTCTTTCGGGAACTTTCTGTTCAAGTCCCTTCAACTAGCACATGAAAGAGTTTTTCTTCGCACTCGGAAATCTGTTCTTAGTTAGTTCTTAGGGTTAACCCCTGATTAGAATATATATGCATATATCCTCGTGCAGTCGTCATAAAATGATTTAACTAAGCACAAGAAACCCTAATATTCAAGCCATTTTTCAAACTACTGCCCGCATCAAAAATATAATGATCGGGCGCGCAACTCAGTTAAGCATGAAGTGATGGGACTTTCATTAGAGCAAGTAATGTTGATAGAGTTCGGGGATGGGGCTTCGTTGCCATTTACCTGTTTTAGAATGATAATCGAAATTGATCTTTGAAAGCCTAGGAATTGAATTCTCCTTTCATCAATCTATCAGGCGATATTCCTCGTTTTTCCACAAACATTCTGGGATCTCTTTTAATTGAGAACAAGTTGTGAAAAAGCGTACTGCGTATGTCGAAAGGGTCAACGAAAAAAATCCAGGAAAGCGAAGCCAAGTGGAAACAAATAATAGATTTTCAACTTTCAAATTAAGCTAGCCCACAATTATTTTGTGTTAATGTATCTTAAGAAAGTCTACATTACAATTCTTGCATCAAGCTTCATGCTGTTTGTTTTACACAAGGAGTGGCGTAACGTATTTTACAAAACTTAAAGGTAAGCGAAGTGCTGTGAAATTCATTTTTTTTTTTTTCATGAAATTAGTCAAAGTCAGATACAGGAGTACCATAATACCCTAAACTATACACCTGTTTTGTTCTCAGCTTACCTGTATTTCCCTCCTGAGATGCACAATGAATTGCCTCTTTTGTGTGTTCGTCGCCGCTCTGGCTCGCTGCAGACGCCGTAAAAGACACTTTTGATACCAGCAAATGAGAGACAAAACTGACTTTTTGCTAATTATTTCGCGTTAGCAATTCTTTCATTTTGTTAAACTCTTGCCTTGGGTTCGCTGAGTTCTCCGCTGGCTGTTTATTCTATACATACAAGATCCTTGCAAACCTTTTTGAGATATTTTTGCTCTTTATGTGTTGCCTGACCGATAAAACGCACATCTACTAGTACTTTTGTTCGTGTTTCAAACAAGAGCAAAGACAAATTTTTAATCAGTAGTACTAAAGACTACTGCATTCCAAGAATTTTCTGGGATCACCAGAAAACAGGGATTGTATTGGTTTTACGGATTGGGTGACTTCCTGTACGCGCATGTAAGCTACATCTCCCATTATTACATATTCGCATACAGAATGTGATAATGTAATAAAACATACAGCAATAAAACCTATTTTGCGGCGGTCATATACATGATCGGAGTTGTTGGAATAAACAAAAAAAGGGCATTTTAAAAGATAGGAATCCTTCGTTGCACCATAATTGTTTCCTCTTATTACATTTTTATTCAAAACACACGAAATTAACTATTTGGTTCGTTTTCTTGTTTTAGTTATTTGCGACCTGAAAATGAAGCTCTGGCTATTTCTCATCGTTTGCTATGTTCCAGCGTCATTCTCAGGTTAGATTTGTCAGTCAGGTTATAGCTTTGTTTGTTTTATTTAACTTAAGACCATTAGCAGACTTCGCCCTAGCTTATTCAGACCGGGCTTTTCTTTTTGGTCCTCTAGAACCATGCACCCTAGATTTATAACACTTCAAAAAATCTTTTCTTTCGAGGTAATTAACACAGGACTGTGACGTCATATGAGGTAGAATGACGTTTCTTTGATCCGCCAGTCTGGATTAATGATTGGTATAAAATTTTACCAAAACCGTAGGAAAAGCTAAACTATTTAAAACAAGAAAGATAAATTTTCTCTTCACTGAACACATGAAAATTAAAAAATTAAAAAAAAAAAAAACGGGTGTGCCGTTTTAAAGTTGCCAAGGAGGGCAGATTATTCCCAGGTAATTTTGTAGAAAAGTCACAAAATAAGAATTTCGTGGCTTTTACGTTGTAAAAGTTGCAAGTCGGTCCGGTCTGAATAGGGTTACAGCTCACAACAAACGCTTCAGATAATCTCGATAGATAATCTAGTATCGAAGTGACATTTTTAATTAATGAATAGATGACCATTTTTTCCCCTGCTGTTATAGTTGGGGGATTATAGGTTTTTATTGTACGGCTACTATAGTTCGTTGGTTTAATTAATATATTCCTGTTAGTATAGTTACTTTATTCTTTGTAATTTTTCACAGGACTCACGCGAAGAACGTTTTTATGATAAAATATCGTGTTACGTTTAAAGATAGATGGATTGATTGACCGATTTATTGATTAATCGTTTGAATAAGGAATCAGTAAGTAGCGATTTTCTGTATCAAGGGACATTAATGATTTATGCTCAGACCACGTTTTGCAGCGGTTTTGGAGCATACCGCATACCAGTCTCAAGATCTCAGTTACCTGTAGGATATCCCCAATCACTCCTAGACAGTATTTTAACAGTTGATTTCTTAGTAATACTCATGTTAAAAGTCTTAGCAATGTTTTTACTTTTATTAATATCCTACACAATTACTTGCTTCAGTGTGAGTTTACTTTTTTTTACCGTTGTACTGTAATTATTCAGCGGTAACAATAGTGATGGGTGATCGATCGATAGAATGATCTTACATATTTGCAGCCTTGCCTTGCGGTTACACTACTTGGAGTTGCTGGTCTTACTGTGACGCTTCTTGTGGAGATAAAGTTCAATCTCGTGAAAGAAGCTGTACGAATCCCCCTCCTTCATTACCCGGGTTTGATTGTAGCGGACTGGGTCCCTCGATAGAAGTACGTCAATGCTACGGACCAACAGATCAAATAGGTGTGTGGATTTTGGTGTGGTCGTCAGAAAGACAGCAACATAGACAGGCATATAAGAGTTAGGAGCATTTGCAGAGGTAAAACTTACAGACCTTGTCGTACACCACCAGGAATGACTCAATAGGTTAAAGCTTCTCGGTGGAGTTTTTGCCTACTTTTTTAATTTTATAACTTTTGTTACAAGTTCCAGTTTTGAATTTGATTAATACTTAGTTCTTCAAAACCTTAGCAATAAAAGTAATAAGCGAATAAACGAAAAAATGAATGGATGAATTGGGAGATAGATAAGCAGATTATTTAAACCTCGACGTCATTCATATTAGCAATTACGTTTCCGCTTTTATCTAGAACTTTTCATTCATGAGCATTTTCATATACATTATTTATTTAAGATGTCGATGGGGGATACAACAACTGGGGACTGTGGTCTGAGTGCACCAAGGATTGCGGAGGAGGAGTACAGTACCGCACAAGGTGGTGTGTAGATCCTCACCCTCAAGGAAAGGGGAAGGAATGCTCAGAACAGAAAGAACTTGGACCAGCTATAAAAAGTCGATCATGCAATGAACATGACTGCAGAGAAGGTACAAAACATTCGCCGACAAACACCTCTCCTCTTTAAAGCGCATTGTTTCCCTGAGGGGACACCAGCCATATATACATTTTATATACAAATATTGCATCCTTTCTTCCTTTATCATGTAGTGATTTGCAGTCATTCAAGCGCTATGAAATATAAGCTACGTAACGGTTTTGCGCATCATAAAAAATTTAGCCATAATATTTTTAAAGTTCATCGTTTGTACTTCGTATTAAATCTTCGACATTCCTAACCATCCTTGTTCCTTTATGGTTTGTTATTATCTTCTATTAAACTACTGTTTTCAGGCTTTCCTCAATTTGTAATAAATTTTGTACGTAGCGAAAATAACTTAGAATGCTGTGACTGAGCTACCTCAAATAGTTCAAAATTATGATTTGAAATCGTCCTGAAATAAAATTTGCTGGATTGCATTGAACTAACTGTAGCAGCTGAATAGTTTTACGCGAGCTATTTGTGTTTCTTTTAGAACCGACCAAGGAACCAACGACAGAAGTAACGACCGAGGCGCCAACCATAGAGGAAGAATCGACCGAGGCACCAACGACAGAAGAATCGTCCGAAGCACCAACCATAGAAGAAGAATCGACCGAGGCACCAACGACAGAAGAATCGTCCGGGGCATCGACAACGGAAGAATCGACCGAGGCACCAACGACAGAAGAATCGTCCGGGGCATCGACAACGGAAGAATCGACCGAGGCACCAACGACAGAAGAATCGTCCGGGGCACTAACAACGGAAGAATCGTCCGAGGCACCAACCATAGAAGAAGAATCGACCGAGGCACCAACGACAGAAGAATCGTCCGGGGCACTAACAACGGAAGAATCGACCGAGACACCAACGACAGAAGAATCGTCCGGGGCATCGACAACGGAAGAATCGACCGAGGCACCAACGACAGAAGAATCGCCCGGGGCACTAACAACGGAAGAATCGTCCGAGGCACCAACCATAGAAGAAGAATCGACCGAGGCACCAACGACAGAAGAATTGTCCGGGGCACTAACAACGGAAGAATCGTCCGAGGCACCAACCATAGAAGAAGAATCGACCGAGGCACCAACGACAGAAGAATTGTCCGGGGCATCGATAACGGAAGAAACGACCGAGGCACCAACGACAGAAGAATCGTCCGGGGCACTAACAACGGAAGAAACATCCGAGGCACCAACGACAGAAGAATCGTCCGGGCTATCGACAACGGAAGAATCGACCGAGGCACCAACGACCGAAGAATCGTCCGGGGCAACGACAACAGAAGAATCATCCGAGGCACCAACCATAGGAGAAGAATCGACCGAGCCACCAATGACAGAAGAATCGTCCGGGGCAACAGTAACGGAAGAATCGACCGAGGCACCAACAACGGAAGAATCGTCCGGGGCACTAACAACAGAAGAATCGTCCGAGGCAACAACAACGACGGAAGAACCGGCAGAGACACCAACGACGGAAGAACTAACGACAGGTAAAACGAAACTTAAAAAGTTATTGTACAGTGAAAAGCTTACTCAATACCTCCCTGCTACGCACCTAATCTCCTCTGCTGCATTGGTACTTGTTGACTGCGATTATACACGTTCTTCTAGCATTCTTGTTATTCTAACACACACTGACTACGTTTACCACCAACACTGGGTCTGAGCTATCTGTGATTACTAAAGGACAGACATTTGTTTGTACGTTGTCTGCACCACTTACATGACCAGCGACATGACGTAGAACTACTATTACCTAAGGCTCACTACAACTTCCATTTCATTTTTTTTGTTTTGAAAAAAAAATTTAAAATGTTTATTTTTTTTGTAGGACCGCCTTGTATAAAAGCCCTTGACCTTGGCATAATAATTGACAAGTCCAAGAGCGTGGGGAAACACAATTTGAAAAAGCTAAAACAGTCTTTGGTATCATTTCTCCACCTATTTGATGTTTCGGCCGAAGGGACTCACGTTGGAATGATCTCGTTCAATGACAACGCTGAATTGCTTTTCGATTTTAAAGACGATCGCTACCATACTGAGGATCAGTTAAAGGAAAGAATAAAAGAAATACCTTTGAAACTGGAGCTTAAGACGAGGACCGACTTGGCGCTAACACTGGCAAAGGAGAAGTTGTTCTCAGTGGAAGGTGGCGATCGACCTGATGTGCCAAATGCGTTAATAATCTTCACGGATGGAAAGTCGACGGGCAAGCCTAAGCACAAAGGATTCGTCCCAATTCCAAAAACTGTCGAAAGTCTTACTGAGGTAGGTATCCATTCATTCATTCATCCATCCATCCATCCATCCATCCACTCATCCATCTGTCCGTCCGTCCGTCCATCCATCCATCCATTAAGCCAGCCATCCAGGGAGCCATCCGTTCATCATCAATCCATCCATTTATCAGTCCATCCATTGCTCCATCTATTCATTCTTCCATTCATTCATCCATCCATCCATCCATCCATCCATGTATATGACTTTCACTGCTTGTGGTGTCCCTTAACTGCAACATGATACGAATATGGATTTACAATTTCTCCAAAATTGGCTGTAAGCAACTAGATTTACCCTGGGTGGTTTAAAGACAAAATTCGTCTTAGGAGGGTCATGGCAAAGAATAGCGACTCTTTCACAAGAATTTAATCTCTCCATAAACGGAGTCTCACTGAAAAAAGTAAATAGTAGCAAATGTCTAGATGTAGAAAATTGACGTTTCTGACACGTGACACTCATATTACTAGTGTATCTACAAAAGTAATTTTTGGTATAGGATTCATAAAAAGATCAAACCTTTTGTGACTGCTTCCAGCTTGCTTACTGTTTATCAGTCAACTGTTGAACCATATTTTGATTACTGTATCATTGTATGGGATGCCATCAGTTACCACCTCTATGAAAAACTTCAAACATTACAAAATCGTGCTGCACTAGTAATCACGGGTGCCGATTGCCGAATGCCTATTAGCGAACTCAACTAATCCAATCATTACTAGCGGTAGAGTACTCACAGAAGCCATTTGATCCTAATCTACCAGGTTAAAAAGGTTGAGATGCTTCCTGTCGGAATCGGGAAGGGTATAAGAGAAAGAGAATTGGAGAAACTGGCTGGAGATAAAGGACACTACTTTCATATTGCAAACTTCAAAGAGCTGTGTTCAATTTTGGAAAGCTTGAAGGACGCCGCTTGTGGTACGGTTATCTTATTGTCCTGTATTTCCTCTCCTGCAATATCCATCAGCTGATAAACACCTTAAACGCTTTAAAATCACCTTAATTTAAAATTAAATTGCAGTCAATTGATATACATTAGAAACATGCATTAAATGATAAGATATGTTTAATATGCATGATATGTGTTGAACACCTACCCTTGCAACACTTCTTGACGGACACAAATTTCAGTAACTCACTCAACGAAATATTTTCCACCACTGAGAGCGGTTGACCTCCCTCTAGGGAAGAAGATTAAAACTTAGCGTTTCAGTGAAAGGACAATTTAAGTTGGAGACTGATATTGAAGACTTTCGGCAAAATTTCTTCAGCGTTCCACAGAAAACGTCAAGAAGTCAAAAATATATTTCTGCAAGGTGTTCATAGGTTGAGGTGTATTGTTTGACTGGTCTGTCGGCAAATTTCACCTCTTTTCCACAGAAAACATCTAGAGACATTTTTGCAAGGTGTTCAGAACTTTTAAAAGCTATATTTTTTGACTGTTCCGTCCAAGTGTAGTTAATTAAGCTGCTACATTTCCATATCCTTCATATTCTTAATCAGTCATTTATTCTTGATTCATCATGACATGCTTATACATTTTTGCTCTGTACTAGATTACAGCCATATAAATGGAGGCCACTACTCCTATGGTAGAGGACTTCTGGATGATCGCAGTATGCGCTGAGCCCCTCTACACAACGAGCCCACTTTTGGCAGATGTACCAACTTTTGGTTCAATATACCGCACCTTTTCAAAATAAAATAAAATAAAATAAACTACATTAAAGACATAGAGCTCCATTTCTGCCGCTGGCTTAGTAGTAGAATTTATGAAGATTGGGCCCGCAGTTAGATTAGTCGAACACTTGATATCAATGCTCAAAGGACCCTAGTCAGCCTGCGGAATTTTCGATGCCATCGAAATTATTGATATTGTATGGTGAAGCGAAATCTTGTTGCTTCAGTTTAAGTCGTATTCCTGACAGTATGTTTAATTATCTCGTATTTTCGGAGCGATTTCCTTCCTTTTGACATGCATGCTCAGAATAAAATATAATAGCCAAACTCTCGCATGTGAACAAAAACAAAGGTGTGGCTGACTAAGGCCCTTTAAAATTGATAACTCACAAAAAAAATTGTTGATGAATAATGTTTCGTTCGGCGGCAGCACTTTTACTGAGGACAAACAACTGAAGATAAAGAACTGAAGATAAACGAAGGACCGACATTTTACTTAACAACAGTCAAACAACTCCTGAGCACCACCCAAAAAATCGAATTAAGAATAGTTAAATGTTTTTTAACTACTTTCGACAATCATAAATGCGATTGTAATCTATTTGCCTATATGGACACGGCACCAAGTGAGCTCTGTAAATATCATGGGGGTAATACATTGTGAACATATATCGTAAAAATATATATGCACAAATAAAAGTGGGTCAAGGGGAAAAAATTTGGTGTTTTTTATTAGTTACAATCGGATAGTTGCCTCTTCGTAAAAACTGGATTACTGAGGCCCGCCGGTTCAGACGCCGTACTTTCCATGAGCCGAGTCGAATCTAGTGATTTAATTTTATCCGTGTACCTTTAGAGGTGTCTGGCGTCCAAGCGATGTAGCGCGGCATTTTAAAATGTAGGTACCTTAATTAGCTTATAAAGCTGGCTATCAGACCATACCAAAAATTTTTAAATAAAAAGCGACCCCTAAATGTGATCGTCCGAGTCACCGTTTGAAAGGTACAAGTCAAAGAAAATTTAGTTTTTCGTTAAATAAATTTAATTTGTTCCTTAGTTTCCGGGCCCAGAACGTCTGCATATAAGCCAAGTGGCCCACCAGGCTGGAGCTTATCCCGGTTTCCGTAGCATGAAGCGACTAGGAGTGTTTCTACTATCCCCTGAATGGGATGCCAGTCTATCGCAGGGTTACCCCCAGCATTATGTTCGCCGGTACCCATTTTTACACCTGTATGGAGAGAGGCACTGTGAGAGTAAAGTATCTTGCCCAGGGACACAAGGTAATGTCCCCGACTAGGGCTCGAACCCGGACCGCTCGATCCCGAGACGAGCGTACTAATCATTTAGCGCGCGCCCCTCCCACATCTCCGGACCCAAAGCGCCAAAAAAAGATGTTTTTTTTCTTGCCATATTCAGTTGCAGTGAAAAGTTAAAGAACATTCTCGAAATGAGATGAAATAAATGTGGAGTGATCATAAAAATTCGCTCTCGGAGAAAGCCTATTTCAAAATAAGGAAAAAATAGTAGATACTTTTTCGGTGTTTATGTGTTAAACTTCTAACTGACCAAATCTGCGGGTGAACGAGCGAACTTCCAGTTTTTGATCTTCTGGTCTGAAATTGCGTCACTGAATCGCCTTACCTCTTTTTTATAAATGCAAAATTATAATAGAATTCCGAGGAAAATGGAAGAAAAACAAAAACTCCTCTTCTAATCCTAGACTCCTAGCAGATACGCTTTTGTAAAGAGGACAGATTGTGTGATGAGCCCAATGAGTGTGTGCGTAGGAGGCTTCTTCTGTTCCGGTTTGAGCTGGTATATACAATTTTAAGACACCTTTCTCCAAGGTGGGCGTAGACCACCCTACCCTGACCAATTTTCTAGGGATAGACTGACCACGAACCGCAAAAAAATAAACCACTAAGGATATGATGCCAAACAAATAGGTAGTACAGTCTGCAAGAGCATCCGGATTTTTCGGCTTTTGTTTTGCGCGAGAGGAAACAACCGGATATTCTCGCAGTCTATAGGTAGTAGCAGTGCAGATGAAAATTCCAAAACTCAATAGTTTCATGTAACAATTTCTCTGGTAAGATGATTTCTTTATTTTCTTCAATGTACAACTAACAAATACATCAATAAGGCCCTCCCCTGCCGATAAGGACCTGCTGGCTGGTTTCTAGCCTCCAATGTAAAATCTTTTCTCGGTGGCAACCGTGCAGTCAATTGAAGGATCGAATACTCTTCGTTTTACATTAGCTCTATATTGTGTCTTGTCTTTGATGTTTCCCTTAGGCTTATAGCGAGCAACAACAAATACGCAATGTTTTCCGTTCAACTCCCTCCCAGCCACTCCAGTGCCGAGTTTCTTGGCGTCGTTCCACCCAAGCTGAGTGAAACGCACA